GTGACTAAAAGATAGAATCAGGACATTGAGTTGTTTAGGGCACTTTTCAAATTGGTTCAAAGCCCTCTATTATGGGGTAGATGGGCTGGTGACTTTTTCATAATATGTTAGGGTTTTAAGGTAGTATCTTTATATATGGTAACATTTACTGCTTTTAAAGTTACTTCACGTATAGAGAAGATTGAAAGCTGAATTATTGTTTAACTTTGAAACTTTATTTTCAGGAAGTCCAGACATTCCGGAGTAATTATTAACAATGCTTTGCGTGACTTTCGAGGTTATTTGAAGTAAATGTCCTGTAATTCATTACCTGTACTTATCACATACTGTTTTAAAATTTAAACTTAGAAATTCATGCCGAAGTCCAACTTAAGAATTATGGGAAATTTCTTGAGGAGTATACATCTCAACTGAGAAGAATTGAGGATGCTCTGGATGACTCAATTGGAGATGTTTGGGATTTCAATCTTGATCCTATAGCATTAAAGGTTTGATTTGATTTTTTTAAATATATGTATGTATTTTCTGGACATAGTGTATCCTGAAAACATAATTTTTTAAAATGGAAAAAGTATTTGAAATCTAAGAACAAAATGAAAGTTGGAGAAAATTGTTGATTTCCTTTTCTCTAAGCCGTGCAGTTGGTTTTTAAATGTGTGTGTGTTTTTTTGTTTAAGAATGACACAAACACAAAGCCTTTAGTGTCAAAGAATGACACAAACTCCAAGTCTTTGAGCTTGCCTTTGATTTTCATTATTAAGATAATGATGAGGGCTGGATAGAATATTCAGCCTTTGGTTTTTCTTAATTGAGGCTATTTTACATAGAGTGAAATGCACCGATACTCTTAATTTTGCCAAACACATATAACTCATATCCCAATTAAGACAGAATATTTTCACCATTTCTGAAAAGTTCTCTCATGCTATATTGGAGATGTTAATGTGTGAGTAATTTTTTAATGTATAAAATATGTCACTCCATTTTGAAATATTTCTTTTATCTTTAGTTTGTTACCACTTGAATAATAATGTACATTTTATTGAGCACTTACTTATTAGACACTGTCCTAAGTCACACACTGACTTTTTATAACAACTTTCTTGAGATATAATTCATATATCATACAATTCACTCATTTAAATTGTATAATTCCATTATTTTTAGTATATTCACAGAATTGTGCAACCATCACAACAGTCAATGTTAGAACATTCTCACCCCCCCCCGAAAAGAAATCGTGTACTTTGGTAGTCAACCCCCTAGTTCATGCCATGGCATACCTACCCTAGGCAACCACCAATCTGCTTTTTATCTCTATGTGTTTGTCTCCTCTGTATACTTCATATAAATGAAATCATACGATATGTACTCCTTTGTTGCTGGCTTCTTTAACTTAATGTTTTCAAGGCTCATCTATGTTGTCACATGTTTTTAGTACTTTCTCTTTTTGCTGTTGCTGAATAATATTCCATTGTAAGGAATGGATAACCACATTTTATTTATCCATTCATCAGTTGATAGACGTTGGAGTTTTCTACTATTTGGCTATTATGAATAATGCTGCTATGAGCATTTGGGTACATGGTTTTATGTAGACATATATATGTGCATTATATATAAAATGTATATATACATTATGTGTATATTTTATACATATGTATATATGGGAGTGGAAATCCTGGATTATGTGGTAACTATGTTTAACTTTTTGAGGAGCTGCCAGAATGTTTTCCAATATGGCTATACCATTTTACATTACTACCAGCACTGCATGAAGGTTCCAATTTTTCTATATCCTTGCCAGCTTTTATTATCTTGATTATATTCTTCCTTGTGAATGTGATAGCTCATTGTGGTTTTGATTTGCATTTCTGATGGCTAATAATGTTGAACATCTTTTCATGTGCTTATGGCCATGTGTCTGTTTTCTTTGGAGAAATGTGTGTTCACATCCTTTGCCCATTTTTAAATTGGGTTATCTTTTTAGTATTGCATTATAGGACAAGCATTGACTTTTAATTCCCACAACAGTCCTATAACGTAGTTACAATGTCATCTCCATTTGTAAATGAGAAAACTCAGGCATAGAAAACTTAAGTAACTTAGTCGAGTAAGTGACACATTTAGTTAAATGATGAATATCAGGCAGCTTGGCTCCAGAGCCTGTGCCCTTATCCAGTACCCTCAACTGCCTCACAAATACTTTATATATTTGTAAACTGAAATTGCTTTCCTTTGACTTCTTTCCTGCAGGCTGGATAGACCTAGTCTTACTTTAAAAATCTTTCCCTCAAATTTGTAATTGTCTCTTTTTGTTCTTCAACACTTCTATGAGAATCCTTGTATGTGTAAGTTATAGGAACTCTATGAGGAAACTCATTCTCTACCTGTACTAACTCTGAGGGTAATAAGTTTCATACCTCTGTCACTTGCCATTAAGTAACACTTGTTGATTTTTTAAAGAGATGCTGTTGGGCTTTCTCGCCGTTAAGTAATACTTGTTGATTTTTTAAAGGCTTGCTCTTGGGCTTTAAGGGCCTCTTCTAGATAGGATTATAAAATCTGTTTTTTGTCTCAACTCTCAGATTTTATAAAAGGGTGAAATCATCTCTTAGTTTTTATCTTTTTCCTACAGAAGCATTCTAATCTTTACAATTATCTGACAGACTCCATCTCCCTAGTTGCTTTCTTTGGAACCTCTGTTTAAGTTCTATTATTGGGCAGTTGTTTTATTGTTTTTACTGTACAAGGTTCTTAGTATTTTGGGAAAAGCCACAAACTCTGATAAAATATCTGTAAACAAAAATTACAACCTAATGAGAAAAGGTATGTAATAACTTACTTGCATAAATAGTTAATTGTTAGTATGTAACCAGAAGGGAGATCTAAGATTTCACTTAATAAAGAGATCACATATAGTCAATGATCAGGAAGAGGTGGAAATTGAATGGGCTTTAGGAGTGAACTCCACACAATATTTTCAGTGTTTCTGAGTGTGGATTTATACAAGAAAATACATTTTTTCTGTCTTGTTTCATTCTTAATTTATTTTGATGCTTTAGTTACAGTATCTTATTAAATTTGTGGCTGCATAGACAATTCAAAAATGATGAGAGGTTTTTCCCCATGATCATAACTAATAGAGTTTAATGATGTTACTGTTAACCTTATTACCTTGCATTTTCTTGTACTACACTCATAAGCAGCCACCTTGTGCTCCATAGGACAACTAGAGTTGTCGCAGCATGATTGTGTCATGGTGGGCTATTTCTTATGTGTTGTCTAATGAGATTGTTTTGGATGAAGTAGTTGGTATGGTGCTAATGTTGAGTACAGGATCTAACACAATTTCATTCAAATAAAGCTAGTCTCAATTTGTGTATTTAAAATTTCGGTTATTTTTCAAATTAAAAAGAAATGTTCTTTTCCTTTGTTTCTGTAGCTTTTGCCTTATGAACAGTCTTCTCTTTTGGAACTCATAAAGACTGAAAACAAGGTACAGAATCCTAAATCTAAAAAATTATTTTAAAAATGTTTTAGCTATCTGTTACAATTTACTTTTTATTTTGTTTTTACTCATGAAACTAGGTCTTAAACAAAGTCATCACTGTTTATGCTGCACTTTGTTGTGAAATCAAGAAATTAAAATATGAGGTAATTGTTTGAATTCTTGTCTTAAAACTTTAAAAACACATCATTTAGAAGCAAGTATGTGTTTATATATGTACAGTGTGCAATAAATATTGAATGTTGAATGAATTATTTATTTAACATAATAGTAATACTGACTACCATTCATTGAGTACTTAGTATGTACAAAACGCCAGGCTAACACTATAACCCTTATAGTAACCCCAGGAGGTAGGTGAGACATTGATGAGGAAACTGAGGCTTAAAGAGAGGGTTACTTGCATAACATCTTACTGGTAGTCAACAGTTTGAATCTAGGTTTACAAACCTCCAAAGTTTGTGTTACCTGCCATATATACTGGCTATCTAGAGAAAACGGATTTTTTTTTTTTCTTAAAACACATTTAGTTTTGTGTTTCCTTACCCAAGAACCATTAAAAGTCAGATAGAAGTTGTCAGACTTCGTATTTTATTCTCTTGCTTTTTGATACCATGTGGTTGCTCTTTATTTCCCATGAACTAATGGGAGGATGTGGGACAGTGAGGGTGGTCAGGTAAGATGAAGTAAAGGCTAAAGGAATCAGGATATTGCTTTGAGTATCAGTAATATTTTTGTTACTCTAAAGATAAATTGAATTGCTTTATAAGCAGGTTTTGAATTTAAATGAATTTGAATTTAAATGAATTTGAATTTAAACGATGTAGCCCTCTGTTTATTACTAAATATACAGATCTAAGAGAACATAGGAATTTGGAAACAAAACAACCTTTAAAATTGTTTTAATTTTTTCTTAAAAACAGGCTGAAACTAAATTTTACAATGGTCTCTTGTTTTATGGAGAAGGAGGTAAGTTTAAAATTCAAAATTGTAATGTGATGCCTTTTTGATGTTGAAATGAACAAAAAGTTAACACACAATTTTAGGACTACTATGATTATATAATAATGTGAGAAAATAGTGTCATATTTTTTGTTGGTATTTTGGTAAACAGGTAAAAAATCTGATGAAGCAGCATCAATTTGTGGTATCTTTGTACTTTATGAAGTATTATAGCTAGATGAGAATTTTCCTTGAATTCATTAAATAGTGAAGCAGATACTTCTAATTATTTGATTAATGATTGTCTCATTTTTCTGTTAGTAAAAGATGTTCTGATGAAAAAAGAAAACGCTTTTCCCCCTTTTTTGGTATTGATTGAGTTTAAATTTAAAAAATGAAATGTACTTACCCATGTTGCCTTTTACAGCTACAAATGCCAGCATGGTGGAAGGTGATTGCCAAATTCAAATGGGGAGATTTATTTCATTCTTACAGGTAACTGACTTTTATTTTCTACTGAGCTTTTACTTTGAAAAGTTTGAGTAAATTACACAACATGTAAAAAGTTCTGAAACCTTCAAATACTAAAAATGTGTACTCTGAGGATAAGACACTTAATTAGCATTGGATTATAGTTTAGGAGATCATAACTCCTAAAAGATTTCCAAATATTTTTAGAGGAAAAAGCTATCAAAATAAGTTTCTTTGTATATATTCGTTTATGGACAACTTGCTACCATGCCTTTTAAAATAATTTAAACTTTGTACCCACTGGAAAAGACAAATTGTATCCGGAAAAGTTGTTAATGGAGAGGAGAGAATTAAGCTGTTACATGAGCAATGATGAAGTTGTTTAGAGCGGTAGCCCTGGATGCTTCTCACAGCTTGTTTCAGTTTAGGTAGCTTTTCATCGCTGCCAGGTTTTAATGATTGTAGGTCCTTTGGTTTACTCTTATCAAAATAACAAAATAGCTTCTATTTCCTCCTCTCTTTATGATAAAAATAATGCATGTACCATGTGAAAAAGCAAAAATTGAAGCTAAAGAAAAAATACTCATAGTCCTACCTGCCTTCTGGTTGTTGAGTACAAGATTTGATATATTTCATCAAATTAGGCATGCTAACATACTGTTCAAATCTTTTATATCTTTACTACTTTTTTTGATCTAATTGATCTAATTGAGAGGGTTTTGTTCATATTATGATATGTGTTATTCAGGGTCCTGTCTAGAAAACTCCATGCAAAGTATTTCAAAAGATATAGTTTGGAGGATACAAAGTAGCAGATATGTAAGATGAATAAGTCTAGAGATCTAATGTACAACATGAGGATTACAGGTAATAAAAGTACCATATATGACATTCATACTGAGTAAATTTTAGCTGCTTTTGCCACAAAAAAAATGGGTTAGCTATGTGAGATGATGGATTTGTTCATGCACTTCACTATAGTAACCTTTTTATTATCGGTATGCATCCCGTAACATGTTGTATACCTTAAATATACACAATAAAATTTATTTAAATAAGAAAAGAAGGGATTCAATATAGAGAATTGGTTACCCAGGAGCTGGAGGACAAAGAAAATAGTGAGGTAGTCCAAAGGAAATGGATACCTCCTTTACATCCAGGGAACAAAAAGGAAAAAGATTGGGATTGCCAGGATCTGGGAGCTTGGAGAAGAAGCCCCATAAAACTGATGCCCATGCCTCTGAGGAGGTGACACTGCCTAGCTGCTGCTGGCTTCTTTTCTAACAAGGTGTCTAAAAAATATAGTTGGTAAGGTCCCAGAAAATGTGGAAACCTTGTATTTTTCATTTTTAGGATATTTTATTCAGTGTGTACAAGTTTAGAATTGTTAATCATTCCTGGTAAATTGAATCTATTATCATCATTTGTGACCTTCCTTAGCTATGTTCATGATTACGTGTATATGATTATGTATATGTATTTTACATACATAGCAATTTACTATACTGATGCTAATCAAGTCTATTTTGTCTGATAGTATAATAATAATGCTGCCCTGGCTCTGTTTTAGTTAACCTTTTCTTGATTTATCTTTTTCCATTCTGGCAGCCCTTCAGTGTCATGTTAATTTAGTTGGGTCTATTTAAAACTACATATATCTGAATTTTGCTTTTTTAATGCAGTCTGACAATACCTGTTTTTTAATTGCTTAATTTATTCTATTTGTAGGTCTATCGTATATAGTCTGTATATATATCTGGGCTTGTTTCTGCCTCTTTACTTTGTTCTTCCTATTTGTCCTGCATTTTCTGTTCTTTGCTTTTATTAAAGTTTTAGAAGTTTAATAGGACATGTAAAACTAACTATTTAAGAATAAAATGCATTATTTATTTGAATTTTTAAAAATGCTTTACATCGTTTTTAGATCTCACAGCTGCATAAAAATTCCATTTTTAAATATTCAACAAATATGTTTTGTGAGCCTAGTATATGCTAGAAACTGTTATTGGTGCGGGTGATATAGCAGTGCACAACACCAACAGAAATTCCTGTTCTCATAGAGCTTAAAATTTAGATCAGCATAGTTTTAATTAGGTTTTAAATACTTCAGATACACACTGTTTCTGTAGGTTTAAAAGTCGAGAGCTTCTGAAATGGATTTTCAAAAGTCTAAGGTATGTTAGATATGAACTAATTATTTAATGACAAACGTATCCCTAGGATAAGTGATACGACATTTCACTTGCTGTGTGCCAAGCCTGCTTATACATACGATTACAGGTGATCAATGTTTGAAGTTATTTTACAGTGACTTCTGGAAACCCCTTCCTGCCATCGTTTTACTTTCTATACTTGTGGCTTTTGAGCTCCTTCATTCACTCAGATGTTTATTCATGTAATAGGATAGAAATTTATTGAGAAGCAGGTGAGTGTTAGTCACTGTGCTAGGCAGTGGATATTCAAAGAAGGAATGAGACAGCACCTATCATTTAGGAGTTATATGAGTAACTACAGTATTAGACTTGAGATAGTAGTATGAATGAAATGCAGTGGGAATAAAGAGATAGGAATGACCTTGGAATGCAGGAGGTGAGTTAAGTGTTGATTGCTTGAGGGATGCTTGAACTCGTCTGGGTTTTGGTTAACTGGAGGCTTTATTGGAAAACTGTTTTGTTTTTATTAGAGTTGTTACCATAAATTTCAGTAAAAAATGGTGAGATTTAAAAAACAACTTTGTAATATATACCCACCTTGTCATTTCAGGAACTGTCTTGTTTTGTTACGAGGTGCTATGAAGTGGTGATGAACGTAGTCCACCAGTTGGCTGCCCTCTATATCAGTAACAAGTAATGGTTTTTAGAAATATTTTTGCTTTTATAATAGAGATGCAGAAAATGTTCTTTCTAAAATTAATGACTTGAAGTAGTTTTTCTTTCATTCAGCATTCTTTGAACACTTATGGTATTTCAAACAGTACTTGATGTGTATAATGCATAGGTTAGTAAGACCCAATTTCCACCATGGTGAATGAACCCATTATCTGTCTGAATGACAGTGTCTGCAGAACAATCTTAAAGAAATTTGACCATATAGAGGAAGGCTAACATGGAATTAGTACATGTTCTGTGTTCTCTCTCTTTATTCCTTTCCTCTTTACACGAATGGTTGCCTGACTCTAATGGAGTCACTTGAGACTTTTCTTAGACTACAGAATCTTGAGGGTTGGAGCTAGGGAATCTACATTGAAGAAATTTTGTGAGTAGTTCTAATGATTTAAAATATACCCAGTAAAATATACCTTAAATACACACAGTAAAATTTATTTAAATTAAAAAAGAGGGGATTTAATATGGAGAATTGGTTACACGGGAGTCGGAGGGCTGAAAGGACAAAGAGAACAGTGAAGTCATCCAGAAGAAACATGCCACCTCTCCATCCAGAAAACAGAAGGGAAAAGATTGAGGTTACCAGAATCTGGGAGCTTGGAGAAGAAGCCTCTTGGAATTGGTGCTAATGCCACTGAGGAGGTGGTACTGCCTGGCTGCTATTGGACCATTACCCTAAATCAAGAAAAATGATCACATTTTCATAGAGCCCTTGTAGCTTTACTGCAAAATAATATCTCACATTTGATTGGTTCTTTATACTTAAAATTTTTTTCCATACTTACAATTTAATTAATACAGTAACTTTGTTTAGCTCTATGTCTAGGCATTATTAATGATGAGAAGAGATAACTGAGACCTGGAAGAGACAGCAAGAGTCCCTAGCAATTTTGGCACTGTTCTTTTGGTCACCAGCACATTCATTTTTCTTACTATACCATGCTGCATAGTAACTCTTTATACTGGAGTGTTAACTGTTTCTTATTCTCCCATTTTCCACCTCAGTTAGGTATTTATGTTCTGTCTTTTCACTGAAGCTCTCACGGCAGGAGAGAATGAGAGTATAGCTCCCCCACCCCTTGTAGTACCTGATGGATAGTTCTAGGAAGACTCCCCCTCATCCTACCCCTGCCCTAGAAGGATGAAATTTATTTGAATTTTGTGTTTAAATTTAAAATATGCATTCTATCTTGTGGAATATCTGTATGTGCTTTAATATTATAAGTACTGTTTAAAACTTGTTGAGCAAAATGAGTAGGAGGTAGAAGTGAATTTTTCTTTGACTTTTGACTTTGGTATAATTCTAGTAGTACACACTGTTTTTCAGTAGAGATGAGGACTCAAACAAACCCAACTGAAGAGAGGACTGATTCCTAAAGGCCAGTTTGGATAGAATAACAAAAATTATAGTTGGTAATTGAGAAATTCTAATAGTTTAGAAAGATATGAATACCACTTTTAATATTTCTCTACCTCCATCCCAAGATACATCATTTGGGTTTAAATGGGTAAGGTTATTCATAGGTCACCTATCATCATAGCCCTACCCATGAGTGGGATATAGGCAAGAATACTGTTAGGGTGGTGCAAAAATTATTGCTGTTTTTTAATCACAGTTACTTTTGCACCACCCTAATAGTATGAACAAGGTAGTTCTCTTCTTGGGAAAGTGGACTTGACGCTCTTAAATTTTAGATGACTAGAGCGCTAATAAAGATAAATATTAAAATTCCAAGATCATCTGCTCCTGTGAGTATTTGAAATAAGAATAAACTGTGACAAAAAGGAAAGTTGTTTTGTTTTTAACTTGGTTGTTATTTTATTATAGGATTGCACCCAAAATTATAGAGACAACTGGAGTTCATTTTCAGGTAAAAGACATTTAACTTGACTTGTAAAACTGTAATTTTTACTATATTTTACTTTGGAGTTTGTATGGTTGGAGAGTATGACACTCATAGCAACTCTCTTAAAGGGGTGTACGTGTGTGTGTGTGTGTTTGCATTTGTTCTCTTTCATCTGTGAAGTTGATGAGTCATTTTTTTTTTTTTTTTTTTTGAGATGGAGTCTTGCTCTGTCGCCCAGGCTGGAATGCAGTGGCCGGATCTCAGCTCACTGCAAGCTCCGCCTCCCGGGTTCACGCCATTCTCCTGCCTCAGCCTCCCGAGTAGCTGGGACTACAGGCGCCCACCACGTCGCCCGGCTAGTTTTTTTGTATTTTTAGTAGAGACGGGGTTTCACCGTATTAGCCAGGATGGTCTCGATCTCCTGACCTCGTGATCCGCCCGTCTCGGCCTCCCAAAGTGCTGGGATTACAGGCTTGAGCCACCGTGCCCGGCGATGAGTCATTATTAACCATTATCAGTGTAACTTCGTTTTTCCCAGTAGTGCCTTAATGCAGATTCTCTAAATGATCTCTTTGGACAATGAAATGAATCTGCAGTATTGCAATTAAAGATGAAATTTTGTTCATCTTAAAAAGAGAAAAGTGTTCTCTGTTTAAGACTAAAAGACTAATAGTCCTTTCTGAGGATCCAACCTGTAGCTGAATAAACTGATTTACCCACTGCTTTTACTAATTCAGTAATTAGCCCAAATGATTTTACTTTAAACGTCTACATGAGGCTTAACTTCTAACTAGTGACTAAATGATAATCATTAAAGGTTTTTTGACAGACTATGTATGAGCACTTGGGAGAACTGCTAACAGTTTTGCTCACCCTGGATGAAATTATTGATAATCATATCACACTTAAAGACCACTGGACTATGTACAAAAGGTACACCAATTAAAATATTTTAAAATGTTCTCTTACTTTGGTTAATGTATTTGTGTTAGTAAAAAGTAAACAAATATAAATAATACAGATTTTCTAAAAGAGCTGGAGATTGATATTTAGAAGAAGCTCATATCAAATATTTTTATGAATACAGTAACCATTCTTTAATTTCATATGAGTTTGTTGGGACAAGTATACATCTGTATAAAGCATCCTAATTCTTATAGTAGTAGAAAGTTAATTTGCCTAGCTTAGGACTCAGATTTATTTTTTTGCTTGGGTTCTATTCAGGTGACAGTTTTTCTTTTTCTTTTTTGAGACGGAGTCTCACTATGTCACCAGGCTGGAGTGCAGTGGCGTGATACTGGCTCACTGCAACCTCTGCTTCCCGGGTTCAAGTGATTCTCCTACCTCAGCTTCCCAACTAGCTGGGACTACAGGTGTGCGCCACCAAGCCCAGCTAATTTTTGTATTTTTAGTAGAGACGGTGTTTCACCACGTTGGCCAGGATGGTCTCCATCTCTTCATCTTGTGATCTGCCTGCCTTGGCCTCCCAAAGTGCTGGGATTACAGGCGTGAGCCACATTGCCCAACCCGACAGTTTTTTTTTCCTGAGCTTGGTTTTATTTTATATACCCCGAATTTTTTTAGACCATGGTTTATTTTATTCATGTTATAAGTACTTATTAAATGTCTGGTATGTACAGAGTATGAGGCATTTTAATTTAAGATGATATTAAAAAGCGTAAGAAAATCTATTAGGATTATTGAAAAACAAATTTTCAAATATGTAGAGCCAAACAAGAAATACAAAGATAAATTTTGACTTCAGGAACATTTTTAATTTTTAATTTAAGAATTTATTCGGTGGATTTAAGATGTTTCTCTTAATTTCCACAAGGTTACTGAAATCCGTCCATCACAATCCTTCAAAATTTGGAATTCAAGAAGAAAAACTAAAGCCATTTGAAAAGTTCTTGCTGAAGCTAGAAGGGCAATTACTGGATGGAATGATATTCCAGGTAAGTAGGTCTGTATCAGACTGTAACAATTGGGCTCATATTAGACGACAAAGCTCAGAATTACAGTAAGTCACTTTTATAATGCACTGTTAAATATATTTTTCTGTAAAAAGTGCTTTGGCTTAAAATTATTGTTAGAGTACTAAAATATTTCTGTATCTAGTAGCCAACAAAATTAATAGTGTATTAGTTGTATCTAGAGTAAGAGTTTTAGAAAAAGTATGTAAATGGATACCAATATTTGAGGATTAACATCTAATCTGAGTAGTTAGGTATAGGCATATCTTGTTGTATTGCATTTCGCTTTATTGCATTTCCCAGGTAATTGCATTTTCTATAAATTAAAGGTTTGTGGCAACCCTGCATCAAGCAAGTCTTTGATCGTCATTTTTCCAACAGCATTGTGTTCACTTTGTCTCTGTCACATTTTGGTAATTCTTGCAATATTTTAAAGTTTTTCATTATTATCATAGCTGTTATGGTGATCAGTGGTTTCTGATGTTACTATTGTAATGTTCTGGGATGCTGCAAATAGTGCCCTGTAAGATGATGAACTTAATCAATAAATGTTGTGTGTGTTCTGAATGCTTTATCAACTGGCTGGCTGTTGACCTGTCTTTCTCCCTCTCTTCAAGCCTTTTTATTCTCTGAGACACAACCATATTGAAATTAAGCCAATTAATAGCCCTACAGTGGCCTCTCAGTGTTCGAATGAAGAATTTCATGTCTCTTAATCAAAAGCTAGACATGATTAAGCTTAGCAAGGAAGTCATATCAAAAGCAGAGATAGGGCCGGGCGCGGTGGCTCACGCCTGTAATCCCAGCACTTTGGGAGCCTGAGCCGGCAGATCACGTGAGGTCAGGAGTTTGAGACGAGCCTGGCCAAGATGGTGAAACCCTCTCTCTACTAAAAATACAAAAATTAGTAAGGTGTGATGGCAGGCGCTTGTAATGCCAGCTACTCGGGAAGCTGAGGCAGGAGAATCGCTTGAACCTGGGAGTCAGAGGTTGCAGTGAGCCAAGATCACGCCGTTGTACTCCAGCCTGGGCATCAAGAGGGAGACTCTGTCTTGCGGGCGGGGCGGGGACAAAAAAAGCAGAGATAGGCCGAAAGTTAGGCCTCTTGCTGAGAATAGTTAGCCAACGTGTGAATGTAAAGGAAAAGTTTTGAAGGAAATCAAAAGTGCTGTAAACACAAAGATGATAAGAAAGCGAAACAGCATTACTGCTCATACGGAGAATGAGCAGTTTTGTTGCACTGAATTGAAAATCAAGCCAACCACAACATTAGTTTAAGCCAAAGCCTAATCCAGAGCAAGGCCCTAACTCTCTTTAATTCTCTGAAGGCTGAGAGAGGTGAGGAAGCTGCAGAAGAAAAATTTGAAGCTAGCACAGGTCGGTTTATGAGGTTTGGGGAAAGAAGCTGTCTTCATAACATGAAAGTGCAGAAGCAGCAAGTGCTCATGTAGAAGCCAGTAAGTTATCCAGAAGGTCTAGCTAAAATCACTGATAGAAGTGGCCACACTCAGCAACAGATTTTTCAGTGTAGATGTAACAGCCTTCTATTGGAAGATGCCATCTACATCTTTCATAGAGGGAAAGCCAATGCCCATTTGCCATTCTGAAAATCTTAGGACCCTTAAAAATTATATTACTCTACTCTGCCTGTTCTCTGTAACTGAAACAACGAAGCCTGATGACAGCATATCAACATTGAGGCAAGACCCTCAGCCAGCAAAAAGATGATAGCTCACTGAAGGCTCAGATGTTAGCATTTTTAGCAATAAAGTATTTTTAAATTAATATACTTAGACATAATGCTATTGCATACTTAATAGACTATAGTATAGTGTAAATATAACTTTTTTTTTTTGAGACGGAGTTTCACCCTTGTTGCCCAGGCCGGAGTGCAGTAGTGCAATCTCAGCTCACCACAACCTCTGCCTCCCGGGTTCAAGCAATTCTCCTGCCTCAGCCCCCCGAGTAGCTGGGATTACAGGCCTGTGCCACCATGCCCAGTTAGTTTTGTAGTTTTAGTAGAGATGGGGTTTCTCCATGTTGGTCAGGCTGATCTCAAACTACCGACCTCAGGTGATCCACCCGCCTCAGAAATTTGTGTCACTCACATTATTGTGCTGGTTGGGAACTGAGCCTATAGTTTCTGTGAGGTGTGCCTATATTGTGTTTGCTGTTAACCTCTAGGTTTAGGGGGTTTTTTTGTTTTTGTTTTTGAGTCTCGCCCTGTTACCCAGGCTGGAGTGCAGTGGTGCGATCTTTGCTCACTGCAACCTCCACCTCCCGGGTTCTAATGATTCTCCTACTGCCTCAGTCTCCCGAGTAGCTGGGATTACAGGCGCCTGCCACTGCACCCAGCTAATTTTTGTATTTTTAGTAGAGACGAGGTTTCACCATGTTTGCCAGGCTGGTCTCGAACTCCTGACCTTGTGATTCGCCCACCTCAGCCTCCCAAAGTGCTGGGATTACAGGTGTGAGCCGCCATGCCCCGTCAGGTTTAGGTTTTTAAGACAACCCTTAACAAGTCTGTTTAATTCTTCCTAGGCCCAGGGAATATAATTTGGGTTTGCACAGTCCAGTATGGTAGCTTCTAACTACATGTGGCTATTTAAATGTAAATACATTAAAATGAAATACAAAATTCACTTTCTTGCTCACGCTAGCCACATTTCAAGTACTTAATAGCCACATATAGTTCACGGCTAGTTATCATATCAGACAGCACAGATGTAGAACGTTTCCATCATCACAGAAAGTTCTGTTGGACAGTGCTGCTTTGAGCAGGTTCCACCAGAAATTGCATTATATTCCATTTATAGTATATTTCAAGGTTACCTTTAGTTTGTGTTTTACATGATCACAGTTTTTAACCGATTAATCTCAACTCTTGTTTACAGTTGACCCGACCCTTTGAACAACATGGGTTTGAAGTGCGCACGGGTCATACAGATTGTTTTTCAAGAAATGTATTAGAAAATTTTTTGAACATTAGCAACATTTTGAAAAAAACTTGAACACAAATGGCTTAGCCTAGAAATATTTTAAAAACCTGAGGAAAAGTTAGGTATGTCATGAATGCATAAAATATATGCAGATACTAATCTATCTATGTGTTAATTGACTTATGTTATCCATAAGGCTTTTGGTCAACAGTATGCTATTACTAGTTAAGTTTTTGGGTAGGCAAAAGTTATATGAAGATTTTTTACTGCACGAGGGTCAGTGGCCCTAATTTTATGTTGTTGAAGAGTCAACTGTATATCAATTTAAATGTTATTTTTTTATTTTATTTTATTTTATTTTATTTTTTGAGACGGAGTCTTGCTCTGTCGCCCAGGCTGGAGTGTAGTGGCGCGATCTCGGCTCACTGCAAGCTCCGCCTCCTAGGTTTACGCCATTCTCCTGCCTCAGCCTCCCGAGTAGCTGGGACTACAGGCCCCTGCCCCCTCGCCTGGCTAGGTTTTTTTTTTTGTATTTTTTAGTAGGGACGGGGTTTCACCGTGTTAGCCAGGATGGTCTCGATCTGCTGACCTCGTGATCTGCCCGTCTCGGCCTCCCAAAGTGCTGGGATTACAGGCTTGAGCCACCGCGCCCGGCCTCAATTTAAATGTTAGTTCATTAGGTTAAGAAGATAATTTTTTTGTTACTGATTCTTTTTCTAGGAGACATTTCTATACATGCTATAATAAAGTTCTAGGAAAGTAATTGTAAACAGTAAACATAAATTCTACTCATAAAAGTGCAAAGTAAAATAAAAAATATGCTTTATCTTCTATACATCTCTGAACATCATGTGTATTTCTTTATACAGGATTATAGATTTGGATTCAGTTTTATTACTTTCACATAACTAGTACCCAAAAATATAAATACATACAAATTTTTCATTCACAAAGATCTAAATATTAGATTTCATTAAGAACCTGAGCTTTAGTGTTAGTAAAATTTAAATGATGAATATGGAAATTTATCATACACTACATTTAGTGTATGATATTTAAATGTTTAATCATTAATTATTGAGAGTCTGAATTTCTCTTTAAATGTTTCCTATCTAGGCCTGTATAGAACAACAATTTGATTCTCTCAATGGAGGAGTATCTGTGTCAAAAAATAGCACTTTTGCTGAGGAATTTGCACATAGTATTCGGTCAATTTTTGCAAATGTAGAAGCCAAGCTTGGTAATGTAAATCTCATTTTTTGGTTTTTGTTTATAAAATTTGCATTTCCTTAAAGCATAATTGAAGTGTAATTGTTCTGCTTTCTCTTATGTTATTGATTTGTAAGGAGAACCTTCTGAAATTGACCAGAGAGACAAATATGTTGGAATTTGTGGACTCTTTGTATTGCACTTTCAGATTTTTCGAACTATTGATAAAAAGTTTTATAAGTCTTTATTGGACATTTGTAAGAAGGTAAGAACTTGAAACTTATTTTTCAATTTGAGTAGATTAAAAAGATTGCAGATAAAACTAAGTATTTTAAAATGCATTTTTTTCCTGTTTACAAAAATAATTTTAAAATATTCACTTGTAAAATTCAAGTATTCCAGAAATAAGTAACTTAGTGAATGAAAATACATCATATTTCTACATCATATTACTGTGTATTGGTAGATGGTGTTCAGGTTTGTTCTGTACATTAACTTTCTTTTAGTGGTACTAATACTACTTTTTTCTTTTCGTTTTCTTTGCCACTGATTTTCATTACTGAAGATGAAGAAATTTAAAATATATTTCTTTCTGTGTCTTTGTTATTTTCATAATGTGGCACCTGATTTCAAAACTGAAAGATTAGTTTATGTGTAACATCAAGTGATAGTGACTATGATAACCCAGTCAATTTTTTAAAAACTTATATAAAATGAAGCTAAAGGACATGAAGATTCACGTTTCTATTTACTTGTTGCATTTTTTTATCTGACAATCCATGAGAGGGTGTTTTGTGTGTGTGTTATTTAATACTTAGGGGAATAAAACTGTCATGCTCAACACCAGATGTAGAAATGCCTTAACTCTGCCACAGTGAAAGATATTTGTCTCATAATATATTAATAAGTATTTTTGTGGTTATTTTTTCTTGAAATGAATTGTCTTCCATGTGTATTATAGAACTTTTAAAAAGCTTATTGTTTAGCCTGCATTTAATGATTTTTCCCCTTTTCCCTTTTCTATTTTAGGTACCAGCCATCACTCTAACTGCTAATATTATTTGGTTTCCTGATAGTTTTCTGATCCAGAAAATACCAGCAGCTGCCAAACTTCTAGACAGAAAAAGTCTTCAAGCCATTAAAATACACAGGGATACTTTTCTACAACAGAAAGCTCAATCACTTACCAAGTAGGTTTTATAAACAAGTATAATGAAAATATTTAGATATTTATTTTCAAATATTATACTAACTCTAAATGTATAATACCATTTGAGTTATTAAATGTACTTGATAATTAAGGGTCAGGCAATCTCCAGGAGATTTGTTTTCTAGAGGCTTTTTGTAAAAAATATTTTACACTTAAAGTCAATTTAAGATGTGGATGGATTATACTTTATGGATACAAATGCGTACATACATAGTTTTTATCATCTGTGTTAAATATTTTTTGTCTAAATGAAGTGAAGTCTCAGATTTTGTTGCAGTGGATATCGTTTGATAACATTAAAAACATTGTATGTCTATGGTGATTTTGGGAGAGGCTGAGTTTTTCTTGATTTGCTTCCTTTTTCCCCCTTTATTTTTATTTTTATGAAAATAATATATGCATATGTATAAAACATCAAAAAGTACTAACGCTTAAAGGGAAAGATAATTCTTCCCAATTCCTTCCTGTATTTCAGTGTTGCTCTCCAAAGGAACACTTAATTCTTTGTTTCTTCTGATATTTACATCCTTATTTTTTGTTTATCTCTTATTGTGTAGATTTTCAAATATACACAAAGTAGAGAAAATAGTAGATTTTCCTACATTCCCATCACCCAGCTTCAACAATTAATTTATTGCACATTCTTTCTTGAGTACACAGCTAAAATCACATGTTAACTTGGATAAAGCTTTTGAGTGAAATGACACAGGACTCTGCTGCTGGCCCCATGCTGGTAACAGATTTTTGTTTGTGATATGGCTGGATGTAATGGGGATACTTACCCACTTTCTGTTGATTTTGACTATCAAAGGGAAGATGGGTCACTAGTATAGATTGGGGGAAGGAAGAGCATGTCATTTTTAGTACTGCCATGTCCTCTGATTAAAGTGGAAAACTACCACCAATTTAGGCAGGTCTACTCATTTCAGAACTCTAGTAGATATCCTAAATCAGGTTTGAAGAAGGATAAAAACAAACGTTTAGATTTAGATTAGAGAGCTGAATTAAGTAATATAAGATTTAGAGAGATTTATCTTTCCATTTGAGTAGCAGTAAGTAGGGAAAAATGTGTGTATTTTAGTTCTTGGAATGTTGATATTTTGTAACAGTGTGATGCAGTTACTCAAAATGCCAATACATACTTAGCTTACATTAATAACTAATACCCAGGTTGTAGAAACTAGTTACAGTACAGGTTGAGTATCCCTAACTGAAATGATCCAATACTGGAAACTTTTTGAGTGCCATTGTAATGCCCAACGGAAACGCTCATTGGAGCATTTTGGATTTCAGATTAGGGATGCTGAACTAGTAAGTATATAATACAAATATTCCAAGATCTGAAACACTTCTGGCCCCAACTATTTTGGATGAGGGGTACTCATCATGTATCTAGGTCATGGGACTTGATAGTTCCATTAAATTCTGTTTTTTCTTTTTCCTTTTTTTTTTTTGAGACCAAGTCTTGCTCTGTTGCCCAGGCTGGAGTGCGATGGCGTTATCTTGGCTCACTGTAACCTCTGCCTCCCAGATTCAAGTGATTCTCCTGCCTCAGCCTCCCGAGTAGCTGGGACTATAGGTGCCTACCACCACGCCTGGCTAAATTTTTTTTTTTTTTTAGACGGAGTCTTCCTCTGTCACCCAGGCTGGAGTGCAGTGGTGTGATCTCAGCTCACTGCAACCTCAGCCTCCTGGGTTCAAGTGATTCTCCTGCCTCAGCCTCCTGAGTAGCTGGGATTACAGGCACATGCAGCCATTCCCGGCTAATTTTTGTATTTTTAGTAGAGATGGGGTTTCACCATGTTGGTCAGGCTGGTCTTCAACTCCTGACCTTGTGATCCACCTACCTCGGCCTCCCAAACTGCTGGGATTACAGGCGTGAGCCACCGCTCCCACGCCCGGCTAATTTTTATATTTTTGGTAGAGATGGGATTTCACTATGTTGGCCAGGCTGGCTTGAACTCCTGACCTCCGGTGATCCACTCACCTTGGCCTTCCAAAGTGCTGGGATTATAGGCATGAGCCACCACACCCGGCCTTTAAAAAATTTTTTGTTTGTTTGTTTTTAAACTTTTAAGTTCAGGGTACAAGTGCAGGTTTGTTACACAGGTAAACGTGTCATGGGGGTTTGTTGTGTAGGTTACTTCATAACCCAGGTATATTCCATGGAATTTTTATTGATCAGATCATAGCTGGTGTTTGGTGGTGCCATGTTTTGAGAGGGTCACAAACTGCAGTATCCCTAGATGAAGCTGATCAGGATGTCAGAAGGTCTGAGAACCATGCCTTCTTGTTTATCTTCTCTTTGTTAGTGTCTGTATAGTTTGGCTTTTAAAAGAGAAATCTGTGGAATGATGCGGTGGGTTTCTTTAAATATTTGAGGGGCGTTCAGAATGAAGAGGGAACAGATTTGATCTCTGTGGCTCCAGTAGGCTAAACTAAAACCAAAAGGTGAAGATGACAGATAGTAATGATAATAATTGCCAACATCATGAAGCTCTCAACTCTGTGGCAGACATTATGCTAATAGCTTTAAACATATCATGTTCCATAAAGCATGTAACAGTTTTCTGGCATAAAATAATAAATGTAACAACTAATGTTTATGGAGTGCTTAGTATATGCCAGTAGCTATTCCAGGAACTTCACACGTCTCCTTTAATGATCAGAAAATTGTATGAGGTAGATACTGTTGTTGTTGCCGTTTTATAGATGAGAAAACCCTACAGAGATTAAACTTGCCCAAGTTTAAACAACTAGTAGATGGCAGATGCAGGCAGTTCAACTCTACAGCCCAGGCTGTTAACTACTACCATAAACTATTTTTATCCCATTTTTAGATAAAGAAAATGAGGCTTAGAAAAATGAACTTTGCCAGGTCACACAGCTAAGTACATGTCAGAGAGGGCATTCAGACCAGTGCCAGTCCTGTTCTAGTGCCTGTGCAGCAGGTAGTGTTGTGTAGGCTGCTCTGTATTCTCCTTCACTAAAGCTGTGTAGGCAGAATATAGACGACTGTCAGTCCAAGATCTGTGGGAAGTGAGTCTTATTAAGTGGACAGTCGAATAACCTGACTTTCAAAGACTTATCACATGATGAAATTTTGTTTCTAAATTATTTACTACAGAGCTCCATAAAGATGAAGGGCACAGTTACCTTTTTCAGTCTCTTCGCAGTTATGTCGAGGAAACCTAAAATTCACTAAAGTGAAACTCAGGAGAGTGATGATGTGATCAGCATGGGCTTTGTCCTGACATTTTAGAGAAAGTTGAGGGAGTGTCTAAGAGGTGTCCCGAGGTCTTGCTTCAGAGTTTACGTGAGTAGGGAGCAATGGAGAGCAATAAGCAACAGTTTTCCTGCCCCCACACTATACACCAGATCCCAAGTGGCCAGTGTCCCAGCTGCCTCCTTGACTGGGGTCCAGGGTTTGTGGATTTTTGCATTTTGCTTTTGATTCACAACTACTTTAACACTGGAAAATACTGCTTTTAGAGAACAGAGGTCTGAATCTTCGTTTCAACCTCCCATGTTGACATATAGGTGTTGACACTGTTTAGTACTTTATGTTGGGGCAGGAGATTTGTTTTTTTACCTTGATATTTTTCCTGTTTGTACTTTGAAATGCACCTGACAATCCAATAGGTCACTTGGCGATTTTTGTACTCTTTGTCAGTTAACTTGCTTTTTGAAACTTGAAGCAATTTCATTTTTATGTATTTGTAAGAGGTAAAGATCATCTGTCATCTGAATGTGATCACAGAGTGATGGGCAGAAGTGACATATAAACCTCTGCATTATCCTATAGTCTTACCTAAAACTGGCTGAATGCCGTTCACTATGTATTATTGCCTTCTTCATAGTGTTATTGACGTAGTTGCTCATCAGGGAGAGTTCCATAGTCTTGCCTAGGTCTCTTTCTCTGGTCCTTGGTTATGATTTTTTTCTGTTCTCTCCTGTACACAGTATTCCTGCTGAGTCTTGATCACAGCCTCCTCCTCAAAAGTGAAGGTGTTGCTCTAGGACCATGCTCTCTGTTTTTAAAAAAGGACCAGGCTTTTAAAAAATGATTCCTTAAAAAAGGAATCATTCATAAGTCAAACAATGTTTCAGCACCATTCTAAGCAAAGCCACAAAGTATGACTATTTGTGTTTTTCGTCTGATGGAATTATGGCTCTGTAGAAACCATTTTTCTCAGATTTTGTGCTAGGGTTTTACCTCCGTGAGTCACATTTATTAGAGACTTTGGCAGGATACTTCTTTAGATTGAACTCTTGAGATTGACAGATTGCCCGGCAATATGGCTAGCCACTGACCTCAGTGTGGGATTCTAAATGTAATTGAGTGTCTTTAGTTCCTTGCCCTGAAGAGCTATCCTCTAGCTGATTCTGACCTGTAAGAATGGGACATTTCTTTACCCTGTGTAGCTAAGGAAGATTTGAGTTGGTAATGTCTGATTCGATAAAGAAAAATTGTCCATTTTGCATACTAAGTTTTTGTTTGTTTGTTTTGGAGACGGAGTCTCACTCTGTCGCCCAGGCTGGAGTGCAGTGGCGCGATGTTGGCTCACTGCAACCTCTTCCGCCTCTCAGATTTAAGCAATTCTCTTGCCTCAGCCTCTAGAGTAGCTGGGACTACAAATGTGCGCCACCATGCCTGGCTGATTTTTGTATTTTTAGTAGAGACGGAGTTTCACCATGTTGGCCAGGCTGGTCACGGACGCCTGACCTCAGGCAATCTGCCTGCCTCGGCCTCCTGAAGTGCTGGAATAACGGGTGTGAACCACCGTGCCCGGCCACATACTAAGTTTTTTAAAGAAAAGTATAGCTTAAACAGCTTGTGAATACAAAGAGGTTCCTATCTTGAATGAGATTGAGTTGGGAAACATTGATGGAGTGATTTAGTATTTGTAATCATCCTGAATAGTAGAGAGAATTACATTTTTATTGCCCTAGTCTTTCTGGGATGGAAAAACTTCCTGGATGTGAGCTTGAATCTTGACTGAACTTACGATCTTGCTGCCTACTTAACTTCTCTGTGTAGCAGTTTCTTGTTCTGTGTGGAGGTTGTAGTACCTGCCTCGTAAGGTTAATGTGAAGATTGAAAGAGATGGGGGGTGTGTGTGTGTGTGTGTGTAAAGTTCTTGGAACAGTAGCTGTCATATAGTAAGCATTCAATAGCTGTTAGCTTTTATATTCAGATTCTGACCACTTCCACTGTTCCTATTCTGGTTCAAGTTGTCATCCTCTTCTGCATTATTACAGTAGCTTTCTAGGTGGTTTTCCCGCTTTTACCATTGCCCCCTCTATAGTTTATTTTCAACTCATCAGATCCTCTTAAAACTAAAGTTAGATCAAGTTACTTTGCTTGGATCCTGTAGTGGCCTTCTGTCTCAAAGTCAAAATCCCTACTCCTTGCAAGTCCTTCCACAAATCCCTTCCCCATCTTATTTTTCTAGTCCCCCATTCCCTCCCTGTGTATCTCGCTGATCTAATCCCTGCTCACTGTGCTTCAGGTATACTGACTTCTTTGTTATTACCTGAACAAGCCAGACACATTTCCAGGTGTCTTAGGATTTTGCATTTGTCGTTCACTTTTCTACACTGCTTGTATGTTTGCATGAATTACTCATTTATCTACTTCAAACTTTGGCTCAAAATCACCTACTCAGTGAGCCTACTTGGATCACTCTATATAAAATTGCACCTCCACCCCAGTCCCTATCCTTTTTCCCCTGCTTATATTTCTTCTGTAGTATGTATCTTTTAATTAATTTAAAATTTTACTTATTGATTTCATTATTATACAACTCTCCTTTCTAGAATGTAATCATCATGGGAGCAGGGATTTGTATTCATTTTATTTACTGCTGATTTCACTGTTGTATTCTCAGTACCTGTACTAAGAAACAGTGCCTGGCATGTTTGTTGAATGTGTAAATTATGTATGTCTATATAATATTTATCTTTTGAAAACCAGAAAGATGAAGTGACTGCTGCACAGAAATAATGTACTCCAATCAATATCAAGAAATGGAAGTAAATTTTCTTTGCCGAGTAACCCCAGTATTTTCCTTTGTTAGAGATGTACAGTCTTACTACGTCTTTGTGAGCTCATGGATGATGAAAATGGAATCTATTTTATCTAAAGAGCAGAGAATGGATAAATTTGCTGAAGATCTCACCAACAGATGTAATGTTTTTATACAGGTAGTTGCATCTTATAATATTTCGGGGAATCGTTTTTTTGTTAATCTTACAGAAATTAAACTTGGATAACACTGAACAAAGAGTAGAGTCTGTTTTTGTTTATTGAAACAAATTGATTTGGTTATGTTGGGATCTGTGTGACTTATTACTTTAAATTTTCTAACAACCCATTCAAAGCTCTACATTCCTTCAAAACTTGACTATTTAGCTGTACCCTAGAAGTTTTGATATGTTGTGTTTTTATTATTTATTTCAAACTATTTTAAAATTACAATAAACTTTGTGGGCTTTTTGAAAGATTTCCTTATTTTGAACTATATGAGGATTTTCTAGTTATTTTATTATTGAGTTGTAGGAATAATTAAATAATTTTAGTATTTTGAAATTTGCTTTATGATCTAGCTTATGGTCAACTTGGGTAAACATTTCACATCCACTTGAAAAGAATGCATAATTTGTATTTGTCAGTTGTAGCATTTTGTATATGACAAGAGGATCATATTTATTAATGATTTTGTCTGTGTATTTCAGATACTGAGAGTTGTGTTAGAATTTCCCACTATTGTGGATTTGTCTGTTTATCCTTGTTCTGTAGTTTTTATTTTGTGTATTTTGAAGCTAAGTATATAATGTTTAGAATTGTTCTGTCTTTCTAGTAAATTGGACCTTTTCTTGTTAAGAAATATTCCTTGTTGGCCGGGCGCGGTGGCTCAAGCCTGTAATCCCAGCACTTTGGGAGGCCAAGAAGGGCGGATCACGAGGTCAGGAGATCGAGACCATCCTGGCTAACACGGTGAAACCCCGTCTCTACTAAGAAATACAAAAAACTAGCCGGGCGAGGTGGCAGGCGCCTGTAGTCCCAGCTACTCGGGAGGCTGAGGCCGGAGAATGGCGTGAACCCGGGAGGCGGAGCTTGCAGTGAGCTGAGATCCGGCCACTGCACTCCAGCCTGGGCTACAGAGCGAGACTCCGTCTCAAAAAAAAAAAAAAAAAAGAAATATTCCTTGTTATCTCTTGTAATGCTTTTTGTCGTAGGTCTCTTGTGTGTGATATTAACTGTAACTGTTTTAATTAATGTCTGCATGGTATTTTCTTTTTTGATCCTTTCACTTGTGGCCTTTCTGGCTCCTTATATTTAGTGTGTGTCTTCTGTAAGTAGCATAAATTTTTTCTCCTATCTGATAATCTTTGTTTTTTTTTTTCATAGTACTATTTTTTCTGTATGTCCTTGTTGATATATTTGGTTTTAAACTGCCACCTGACTAGTTGCTTTGTATTTGTCTCATTTGTTCTGTGTCCCTTTTCTTTTCCTCTCTTGTTCTTTTTTGGAGTATTTTTAATTTTATTTCTCCTCCTATTAGTTTAATTCTATATTATTTTACTGTTCTTTTAGTGGTTACTCTAGACATTTAAAATGTATCGTTTACTCATTTAGCTCTAATATAAATTAGTTTCACCACTTTCCTGACAGTGTAAGGATCTTAAACAGCTTTATTTCTGTTTATCTGCCTCTCACCTTTTGTGCTGTTGTTGTGTACTTGAGTTCCTCTGTATTTTAAACCTCACAAGGCATTATTATTGCTATTGTTGTTTTTATAGTCAGTGTTTATTTAGATTTACTCATATTTACCTGTTCTGTCGCTTTTTATTCTTCCTACATCTCTTAATTTTCATCTTCCTACTTGGGGAATACCTGCTAGTATTTCATTAATACAAGTCTCTGTTGATGAATTGTAACAGTTTTTGGTCTGCATATGTCTTCATTTCAATCATTTTGCTGTGTTAGAATTCTAGGTTGGTTGGGTTTTTTTTTCTTCTAGCTTTTAAAGGTGTCATTTTATTGTCTTCTGGTTTCCTTTGTTTTTGTTAAGAAGTCAGCTGTAGGTTTGTTGCTTTTAAAATATGTATCTTTCTTTACTTTTTGGCTTTTAGTAGTTTTCCTACAGTGCCCCTAGGTGTGGTTTTCTTTGTGTGTTTGTGCTACTTTGGGGTCAGTAGAACTTCTTGAATTCATGGAATATTCTTTACCATTAATTCTTCAAGCATTACTTCTTTTCTATTTTCTCTGTTCTAATTCTTCATCTATCTCTAATCTGCTGTTAAATTCATCTACTGAGTTTTAAATTTTAATAATTTTACTTTTCAGTTGGCTTCTTTTTTATAGTTTACAGTTCTCTTCTGAGATGTTTGATTTTGTGTTTTATTTTCTTCAACACATTCAGCTTATTTTGAAGCACATGTCTAATAATTTCATTATTTGGCTATTTCTCTTATCTGTTGTTTCTCTTGTTTTTGTACATCTCTTACCTCTTTATATACCTAGTTATTTTTTATAGAGTGCCACACATTGCTTATGAAAAGCTGTAGATGTAATTTGAGGATCTGGATCTTTTCTTCCTCCAGAAGGGATTTGTATTTGTATTTGCTTTTGTACACAGCTAGTCTAGGACAGTTAGCAACCCAGGTTATATCAATCTAGTAGGTTGATTGAGATGATTTGAAGCAGGATTGTGATCCTGTGATGGTTGTTTAATTCACCCTTACTTTTTAGGGGGTTATCCTTTAGGACCCCAACTCAAAGCTTAGGTGGTTTATGAAAACCAGCTCTGATGAGCCCTGAGCTCCTATTTTTATCTCCCTTCCCTGTGAGATGTTGTTGAAAGATATGTTTGGCTTTTGTCTTTAGGGCAGATGCTTTAAGAGAAAGCAACCCTGAATGCCAGGCTCACTTCTCTGAGTTTCTGTCGTCTTCCAGATCTTAGCCGTATATTTCCTTATTTTTTTGAATCCTCTTTGATGCCTTAGGAGGCATTTTTAAACCATTTTGCTCAGATTTTCTAGTTGTTCTCAGTGGGAAGGCTGGTCTAAATTGTTTATTCTATCATTAACTAGTACAGACTCCAGACTACCCTCTCCCTTACAAGTTAGATTTCAAAATACATCCCTTCACAAATTAATGGTTATCTGGGAATGAGCTAATATGGGCCCTGGAGTTCTGTACTTCAAGTACCCCTAAAAAAGGGAATCCTTCTTTTTCTGCCTGACTTAGAGTTAGATTTTTGCTGTTCCTTGTTTGTGCTTTTTAATTTTTCCCAGGGCTGCACTAGGGTAGGGTCTGATGTAATAGTCCTGTAGCCTACAAGGTAAGACTTTGTGGCTCTTTCTGCATGTATGTGGCAAGCTTTGGTCTTACTGTCACCTTTCTTAGGATGCTATCCTCTCTTTGATTTTTTCATTTTGTTAATTTAGCACATGCCTCTTTGCCACAGAGAAACTTTGTGTGTGGTTCAGAGGAACTCCTACTTTGTGCTGAGTATCATTCCTTTAGTGAGCCGCTGTTTCTGATGGGAGAATACATTCTCTCACATGTGGTGGGACAGGAGTAAAAGGTTGAGGAACACTGGCATATAGCTTCTGCCCCACCTCCTTCATGTGTCTACAATAACGTAGTTAAGGTTCGTTGCTAAACTGTACATGTATCTCTTTTGGGAACTTTATAGACCCAAAGAATCTCCGTCATTATCTTTGTGTTTTTCTGTGTTTCTCTTTTGGGTTTAAATGAAAAACTATTTGAGAAATAATATCCCTTTTTTCCTGTTTTCTTATTCCACCGTTTCACTGAGTTTAATACCATTAAAAGAATTTTAACACCTCACAAGACCTGGCTTCCTTCATGAATAGAAGGGGAGGGGAGAATCTGTTCTCATTGGGCTGGAAGGAGAGAAAGCCTAATTAGCACCAAACTAGGCAAGGACAAGATAGCAGATGGATTGTGGTGATTGGTCTAGGTGAATAGGAAAGGGGGACTTGGCTTGGAACTCAGAAATTGCCGTGCCTATCTGTATTGACTGAACAGCTCTCTTTCTCATTTTTCCATTTTGAACTCCTTAGAGTCCTCAGCTCTTGCCTTAAGTGGCAACAGATAGGAGTCTTTATTCTCTTCCCTGGCAGGTAAGATAAGGATGAATAGATACCTTTCTAACATCCAAATTGTTTCACTCAAAGCTCTTCTAAGGGAAAGAGTCTTTTTTTTTTTTTCTAGACAGAGTCTTGCTCAGTCACCCAGACTGGAGTGCAGTGGCGCGATCTCGGCTCACTGCAATCTCTGCCTCCCGGTTTCATGCCATTCTCCTGCCTAAGTCTCCCGAGTAGCTGGGACTACAGGCGCCTGCCACCATGTCCGGCTAATCTTTTTTGTATTTTTAGTAGAGACGGGGTTTCACCATGTTAACTAGGATGGTTTCGATCTCCTGACCTCGTGATCCACCCACCTCGGCCTCCCAAAGTGAGCCACCACGCCTGGCCAAGGAAAAGATTCTTAAGCTGTGATTATACACTGTTATTTTGACAGTACTAAACTTCTGGTATGTGACAGGATAAATAAATGGTTAGGGCTGCTTTGAAACTTAACCACCATGTATTATTGTCTCTGTGAGGAAGAGTATCTCCAAATCTTAAGAGCTGGCTTTAAAATGAACTTTAGAAGCATATAGTTATTGGTAAGTTGAGGAATAACTGCTGTTACATAGATAATGAAATCTTGAAGAAGTCTTTCCTTGTGATTATAATCAGTGTTTTCCTTTACAGGGCTTCTTGTATGCTTATAGTATTAGTACCATTATTAAAACCACAATGAATCTCTACATGTCCATGCAAAAGCCAATGACCAAAACCTCAGTTAAGGCATTATGCAGGCTTGTTGAACTTCTCAAGGTAGGTTTTAGATTATTTTACTTTGCCATCATAATTGAGAAGTGACCCAGGCTTAAATTAGGATAATCTTGTAAGATTTGACTACATGATTATATGAGAACAGAAAGTTATGAGAAAGTACTTCTCTCTCAATTGAATAAAGGAACCAGCCATTTAAATAAATTTCTGAGTAACTACTTACGACTGGTCATTATATTTAAACTTTACTAAATAAAGTTAATATATCCAGTTCACGCAGTAAAAAAAAAGTTAAGGTAGTGAGAGAGAAGAGAAAGAAAATGGAAAAGTTAACTTTAATTTAATTAGTAAAGTTTTACTCATGGAAGTTTTAAAAAGGTTGTATGAGTTTAAAAAAAAACTTGTCTACCATTATCCATTACAGTGTTTACATGCGTATGAGGTTAGTTAACATAAGGCTATTTATTTTGTAATTTAGGTTAAGTGCTGTAATCTTGTGATTTGAACAATAGACTACTTACAGAGGTGGTCAAATGAATTAAGAATTAGTACACCTATGCAAGTATGGTAACGTGTTTCTTAGCTTACTTCTGTATTAAAGAAAAAAGCTGTAGGCAGGAAAGTCCAGTTAACCTTTTGTAAAAATTGAAATTACAATTTACTGGTGAATTTTCTCCTAATAATTGACTAGATTTGTTCAGGAAATAAAGATTTTTCTTTTGGAGATTCTGCCTTTGGATTTTCAGCCTTTTTTTCTTTATACTATTTGTTTATAGATATTTTATGTTTTATTTTTTATGAACTATAAATACAGACGAGTATATGTCTATGTTAGAATATGTATAAATATGTAATACATAAGTATGGTTTTAAAATTAATAATAAACATCTAAATACCCACTGTCCCACTTAAGAAATAGAATGTTACCAATATTTTCAAATACTGTGTTTCTTCCTAATTGTATCTCAACCTGTCCACCTCAGAGGAGACTACTGTCCTGAATTTTATGTTTATCATTCCCTTGTTTTTCTTTTTAGCTTACCAAATATGGATGAATCAATAAAACATTAATCGTTATATATGTTTTTGAAGTTTATATTAGTGGAGTAGTACTTTATGTATTTTTTGGTCTGCTTTTTTATTCAACATTTTGTTTTTTACTCAGCATTTTGTATTTGAGTGTATCCATGTTGGGATGAGTAGCCCATCTGTTTTCATCGTTGTGTAGCTTTCCTGTGGATAGACTTTGAGTTGTTTCCAGTTTTTGTATCATAAAGAATGTTGCCATCCTTGTATGTGTTTCTTGGTGTACTTGTGCAGGAGTTTTTCTAAGGAATTGTATACCTAAAAGTTGGTTACTGGATTATATGTTACGTATATGTTCAGCTTTTCGAGATGATGTCACATTGTCTCTATATACAGACTATATATATATATATATATACACCTCCCACAATACATTAGAAAATTACATTAGAAATAAAATTGTATTTCCAATTGGCCAACTCTGGTATTATGGAGCTTCATTTTTTTTTAAATATAAATTAGTGGGTATAATTGGTTTTGATTATGATTTTTAATATTTAACCCCTGATTGTTAGTGATGGTAAATATCATTTCAATTATTTATTAACTGTGTTTCTTTTTTTTGTGAAAAATCTGTTCATGTCTTTTCATTTTTTAAAATTTGATTGTGTGCCTTTAAAAAACAGAATCTTTCATTCATTTTGGGTCTTCTTATATCCTGAACATTAATCGCTTGTACCTGGTAGATATTTTGTGATACATCGACTTGCTTTTTTATTTTCTTTATAGAGACTTTTGATAAATGGAAGTGCTTAATTTTAGTATAGTTGAATTTATCAGTTCTATACTTTGTAAAGTTTTTGTTTTGTTTTGTTTTTGAGACAGAGTCTCGCTCTGTTGCTCAGGCTGGAGTGCAGTGGTACGATCTCGGCTCACCTCAACCTCTGCCTCCCAGATTCAAGCGATTCTGCCTCAGCTTCCTAAGTAGCTGGAACTACAGGCATGTGCCACCATGCCTGGCTAATTTTTGTATTTTTTAGTAGAGACAGGGTTTCACTATGTTGGCCAGGCTGGTCTTGAACTCCTGACCTCATGATCCACCTGCCTCGACCTCCCAAAGTGCTGGGATTACAAGTGTGAGCCACCGCGCCAGGCCTGTAAGGTTTTTTTGTATCTCATTTACAGATCACTTCCCTAGCCTAAGGTCATAAAGATCTTCTATAATTTTGCCTGAAGTTTTTAAGTTGATTGTCACAAAATTATTTCTGATTCTTTTTAGGCAATAGAGCATATGTTCTACAGGAGAAGCATGGTTGTGGCTGATTCAGTTTCACATATAACACAGCACCTTCAACATCAGGCTCTTCATTCTATTTCTGTGGCCAAGGTATGGAAATTAATATGTATTTAGCATAAGTATGTTATCTTTTTTGTTCTTCCATTGTTTTATATGTGTTTTCTGGTTTACCCTGTTTATTCCTTTCCTTCAAACATAATATGCTTGGTTGTTTATCTCCATAGTATTTTACAATTTTTACTTCAAGTTATTGGCATTATCTTTACTGTGAAATTGTAGCACGTAATACTTTAATACACTTCTGAAAAAGGACGTTGTTTGCACTTTTGAAATTGATGCATCATTTAAAAAATGATTTATTAAATTAATATGGAAATTTTAAAGTATGCCTAATTTGTTGTTTCTGGTAGTACTAAGAGATAATGTTACAGAAGTAAAGTATAAGTAAAATATTATCTGAAGCTTAATGGGGAAAGTATTTGTATATGCTCTCTTAAATCATGGAAAAGATAATCAAGAAGTTTTTCTTCTGAGTCTTTTGTTATTGCCTCAGAAACAAATCGTTTTCCTGTTTTATTTTTAAGAAAAGAGTGATTTCTGACAAAAAATACAGCGAACAGCGTCTTGATGTGCTCTCTGCTCTAGTTTTGGCTGAAAACACTCTAAATGGACCAAGCACAAAGCAACGGCGACTTATTGTTTCTTTGGCACTAAGTGTTGGCACACAAATGGTAAGCATACTGCTATTACTTATGGAACAGAAATGAGATCTGAGATTTCACAGTTTCCTTGTTACTGACCCTAGAAACTTTTGACTGCAACTTCTCTGCCTTTTTTCCTGTCCCTGATAGAAAACATTTAAAGACGAAGAACTCTTTCCACTTCAAGTAGTCATGAAAAAACTGGATCTTATTAGTGAACTTAGAGAACGGTAAGTAGGACTGGGATATGCTGTGGTACTCTAAAGACAGGGTTAATAGAAACATTGATTTTCTTTTTAGCATAGCAAGAGAAGAAATAAAATTCAGATAGAACATTAGTTCCTTTCTGTAACTTCTTTAGCATGACCAAAATGAGATTGTGACTAGGGATCATATTTATTTAGCTTTGCTTCTACAGGAAGCATGTATCCCCTAGAAAAACTCATACGAGAAAAAACAGTGCAACCTCAGAGCATCTGGCAGACTCTGATGCATATCGTGATTATTATGTTGGGTATCTCTATTGGACCTAGATTGCTGCATTATATAACAGGGCTTCCTCTGTGTGGGACTTAGCAATCCATGATACATAGTGTTCTATAATTTTAAGACACGAATTTGAATTAACATTGTTGAATTAGTTTTTGGAAGGCTTATTTTTGTAGCTACTTCTGGCTTTCTTGTTTTCTTTTTGTTGAGTAAGCAGTAAGTTTCTTGAAGGGAAATTAGAATATTTTGATTTCCAGCTGAATTAAGGTCACAGCACAATTTCCATTTAGTATTCATACTTACAACTTATTTTGTTGTTGTTGTTCTGGAGAAACTGACATTTTTCTTGTTATTGGCATTTAATTTTCCACTCTTGGGAAGAAATATTGAACCTTTTTCATTATAACATAGTTAATGATCATTCTATTGCCCTTTAAGGTGTGAAATAGTCACTTGGCAAAGATTGTAGACATGTTAAGTGTGGGGTATTTTTTTTGGTCGCAATTTTTTTTTAAAGATCTTTCTTTCCAACTTAGAGTCAGGGAAAATGGAGCATGTGATGCAAGTATTTAAGTCTAGTCATAGCAAATAATATTGAAAATGAGTTTATTTTTATTTACCAAAACCAAAAATGGTCGATAAATGTTTATTTTAAACTGATACTTGAATATTATGCATATCATTTTTCAAGTATGGTTTACAACTAAAGCGTATGTGCAGAATTCTGACAATGTCAGTCATTGGAGTGTTTGTTACCTTTGTTTCATTTTGATAGTATTTCTTTTGTGACTTTTCTATACTACGTTGGGTTAAGTGATGTAGGGAATGCAAACTGTGTAAGATGGAACTCTTCCCTCTGTAGTAGATGTCATTCCTTTCATATTGTTTTGGGATTCTTCAGTTTTGGTGTGACTGATTACTACTTTACATTGTAGAGTCCAAACACAATGTGACTGTTGTTTTTTATACTGGCATCGAGCTGTCTTCCCAATTTATTTAGATGATGTGTATGAAAATGCTGTTGATGCAGCCAGATTACATGTAAGTAAAGAGCAATTTAAAAAATAATTCCATCATTTTAAAAGGCACTGTATAAACCGTTTTAGTTTAAAATAGATCATTTGACTTAGTAAACTATTTTAAAATTGACTGTTTTGTAAACTGCATATTCATTAAGTGTTTATAGTCTGTAGTTAAATTTTATGTTACTGTTGATGAAGTTAATTTATTTAATTTCTTCCTTCATGTTCCTAATCATTTTCATTTCACTTAATTTTAGTTTATGTCATAGTAGTCTGACATTTACTCATCAGCAAATTATAATGAAAAAGAAAAAATATTTTAAAAAAATATTCAAATTTTTCTTTTTCTTTATGGAAATAAGTGTTTGAATGCACAAGATAGGAAAAGAGTAGTGAATGTGATTTTTTGCGGTATATTTAGTTAAAGTATATGCTTTAGGTTCTTTTTCTTTAGGAGAGTTAAGACAGTTGTGGAAAATCATTTTTCCTTCAGATTGAGGTTTTGTCTTTTAAGATAATTAACTTTTGCAGTATTGTTTAGATTAGAGACCTGGTTTTTCTAAATTCATGTACATTTTAATTTTCTTCTTAGTACATGTTCAGTGCTTTGCGCGACTGTGTACCTGCTATGATGCATGCAAGGCATTTAGAGTCCTATGAGATACTTCTGGATTGCTATGACAAGGAAATTATGGAAATTTTAAATGAGGTAACATCATATTTGAGATTGAAAAGCTTAAAACATGTTCGGAATGTAGTGTTTGGAAAAAAATGTTCGATTGAAGCAGACTATCACTGAGTTAAATTTTTTATAAATTGCTGGGTAGAACAAAGAACTATTTTTAGTTACAATATCATTGTTATGCTAATTGGTCTGTAATTCATTTATTTAGAAATCAGACTAGGAATTAGGAAATTTTAAATTTACTTTTGTTAATAGATATTTTAATTTAAAGTTGTTTATTAGAAGAATGCAAATGTGAAATGGGTTTGAATGTTGAAAGCTGCTAATGGTCCAGTTAAAGCAACTTAACTATTAATATTTTACTGAATTTTATTTGCAGAGCTCCTAAGAGAAGGAAATTGTATATTTAAGAGATTTAGTGTGTAACAAAAGTAATTTGAATCCAATATGTGTGCCCCTCCTTGCTTTAAGGAAATATATATTATAAATATTGATACCTTTGAAATTAAATTTCCATCTAGCGATATTTTTATTTGGAGGGAGGAATTAAAAATGAGGAAATTTCACAATATAATCCTACCTGGGTTTGGTGAAATTGTGAAAAACTTTTTATAATTTCTTGTATTAAATATTCTTATTTAGGAAATAAAATACATGCCTGGCTAGTAATTTAGAACTCCTTGGTAGACTAGAAAAGATGATTAATTTTATTACCTTTAGCACAATGAATTTTGTGATTTTTTTTTTTAATGGTTATTGCAAGAAAGCTTTTTTTCTTTTCTCTCTTGCATGTTCTCATGACCTTTCCTCCTTTGTTGCTGGTTTTCATAAATTTTATGCTTTAAGTTGCATATTCATGTTCCTTATAATGATACCATCAATCATTAGTTTTATATTTTCTTTTCAAGAGTATTAACCTTAAGGTATTAGTGAAAATAAAGACTGAGAATTTATGTAACTGCTTCTGACCAAAAAACTGTTGGTTTAAAAAGAAGCATAGACATGTAGGGAAACAATACAATTGCAATATCATTTTGAAAAATTAAAGTGTCAAATCTTTTGTGAATAGCATTTGCTGGACAAATTATGCAAAGAAATAGAGAAAGATCTGCGACTTTCTGTGCATACTCATTTAAAGCTGGATGACCGAAACCCTTTCAAAGTTGGCATGAAAGACCTGGCTCTTTTTTTCTCTCTGAATCCAATTCGGTTTTTCAATCGTTTCATTGACATTCGGGGTGAGTGTTTTGCTTTCCTTCTTAGAGTCATATTCTCTATTTTTTTAACCTACCGTTAAATAACAAAACTTTGAGGGTATATTTAAATTTTGTGTTGTTATTCTTTAATTACATTTTGTTTCTTTTCTCATTTTTATTAATACCATATTTTAAAGGAACAAATCTGATGTTCAAGGATAAGTTGATTTTTTTCCTTTTTAGTTTCATTTCCTTTTCTACTGTTTCATAAGTTGAAATTTTTTTTTTTTGTAGCTTATGTAACTCACTACCTAGACAAGACTTTCTACAATCTAACAACAGTAGCCCTTCATGACTGGGCCACTTATAGTGAGATGAGAAACTTAGCTACTCAGCGTTATGGACTGGTTATGACAGAGGCACATCTTCCCAGTCAGACTTTGGAACAGGTATAGTATAAAATTCTTTTTTTTTTTTTTAGCATACTCTGACTGTTGGCCATAACAGTCCTTTTTAAGGAAGTCTATTTTCTTTTTGCTTTAGTTAGTATGTGTTTATTTTTTAAGAAATTATTTGCTGTATAAAATCTTATACGTGACAACAGTAAAAAATTAGGTGCTGCTAGATTGCTTTATAAAGGAATTTACCACAGGCATCCTACTTATATTCAGTCTTCTGAGCATTTGAGATATATATATATATATATAGAGAGATTTATATACAGCTTTTCAGAAACCATTAGGATAGTGAGGTGACTTCTGTAGAATTTTAAGAAGTTCAAAGTCACAGTTAAGGATTTTAAGCCTGGTTATAGTATATAAAATTTAATATCTTAGGAAAAATGGTTATTTACATGATTATAAATGTGTTTGTTCTTAAAATGAGGAGTATAGGAAAACATTTAGCTTTGCTAATTCAATTAGTTAATGTACAGTATGGCATTATCTCATGAATATAATAATTTATGTTATCAGATAATTTGCATGGAGTTCTTTCTAAGATGATCCAGATAATATTTACCAAAAACCATTTATTCAGTTCTAAAATTTGAGAATTCTAGTTTTCCCTTTATCTTGCTGCATGTAGGGATTATTTCTAGGATCAGTCTGTATATCCTTTTGTTCATTCATTTATATAGCTGATATTTATTGAGAACATGCTAGGCACTGAACTATGTTTAGGAATACAAAGATAAATAGAAATAGTCCCACAGCTCGTGTAATAGCCTCTGGGAGAAAAAATGTGTAAACAAATTAAATACGATAAAAGTTATAATGAAAACTTAAAAAGGTATTGTGATGCTCCTTTGAGCTCTAATTAGAAAAAACTATGGAACGGTTTATATGATACCATTGGGTGTTAGAGTAATATCTAAATAATGAAGGATTCTTAATAGATAACTTGTACTATTTGAAAGTTGTCTGTTGTGATCAAAAGAAGCATAACAGTTTAGAATTAGACTTTCTAAAGTCCCAAGGTCCTGCTGCTTCCTAGCTATTTTGCCTCAGAGAACAACTTCCTTAGCTTCATTTTTGTCACCTGTGGAATTTAGAAGACTGATACCTCATATTTTAGAATTACATATAAGGAACCTTGCAAAGTACCTGAAAAGTAGTATATATTTTATAAATGTCACAGCATATTCTGACTACCTTTTAGAATCTGGCCATTAGTTTACTTTGTAGAAAAAATATAGAGAAGATTGTTGAAGAGACAAATATTCTCAAGGCTGGTGGGGAGATGACTGTGGGTCATGGATCTTTGAATATTTAAACTTAACTGTTTCTATCTGCACAAAAGATAAAGTAATAAGCAGCCAGGTTTCCCTAAGGAGATAGTCTTGTTTGTCTTTTAACCTTTGGTCATACCTTTTATATAGTTCTTTAAAATAACTTAAAAATATTAGGAAACAATATAATCAATAAGTCACTATGCTGATACAAGTTTAACTGATTATTTTAATGAATTATAATAAAACTTTCGTGTCTATTATGTTGTAGGGCCTTGATGTTTTAGAAATTATGAGAAACATTCATATATTTGTGTCCCGATACCTCTATAATCTCAACAATCAGGTGAGTAGGGTTTATAAATTTTTTTTTTTTTTAATGTGGGTGGAGATATAGTGGGAAGGCTGAGGGGGCAAGGAATTGATTCTCATGGGTGAAATTAAATGAAACAAAAAATAATTGTTTTCGAGGCCTTATTTATTTTTTTTTGCTTTGATTGTACAAGTTGAGTATTCTTTATTCTAAATGTTTAGGACAAGAAGTGTTTGGATTTCAGATTTTTTTTTTGGATTTTGGAATATTTATATCATACACCAGTTCAGCATCCCTAATCTGAAAATCCGTAATCTGAAATCCTCCAGAATCGTAAACTTCTGACCACCAACATGACGCTCAAAGGATCGCTCATTGGAACATTTTGGATTTCAGATTTTTGGATTAAGGATATTCACCTGTACTATCTTCTTGAATGCATTTTCAATGAAATTGTCTTTAATGAAATAGATTCTAAAATTTTCTTTGGATATCTGTCTGACCAGTGTTTGCTATGGGTTGTGTTGTTACTGAGCATAAATTTGTTTCATTGCAGATTTTTATTGAACGAACAAGCAATAACAAGCATTTGAATACTATTAATATTCGGCATATTGCTAATTCAATTCGAACACATGGCACGGGAATTATGAACACAACCGTAAGAACTTTTCTTTGGGGGTTGGGTGGGTAATAGACCCCTGTTTAATAGCTTGGAACGTGGTTTTCTCATAGAATATTCCGGCAAACATACACAACTAGTTTATATTTTACGTGAATTTCCATTTTTTTCTGGTTAGTAATTAAAATGTCTGGTCCTAAAATTTTGTTGGATGTGATGAGAGCTGTGATACAAAGACACTTTAGGGTAGATAACCATCTCAGAGCCATCATTATAAAGAGCACTAGATATTTGAGGACATCAGCACATTAATATATGTGTGTGCACACATATATATATGTTTATCTGTGTTGATTCTGTGATCTCTGAAAGTTTACTTTTGAAAGTGAGCAATTGATAGTAATTTATTTAATGTTACTTATGCCCTTTTTGGGGCAGGGGTTACTAATTATTTGATGTCCATATAAATAGGAACTTACTAAAAATATATTGAATCTTCTTAGAAATGGGCATTCACGGCCTGGTGTGGTGACTCACGCCTGTAATCCCAACACTTTGGGAGGCTGAGGCAGGAGGATCACCTGAGGTCGGGAGTTCGAGACGAGCCTGACCAACATGGAGAAACCCTGTCTCTACTAAAAATACAAAATCAACCAGGCGTGGTGGTGGGCACCTGTAATCCCAGATACTCAGGAGGCTGAGGCAGGAGAATTGCTTGAACCTCGGAGGTGGAGGTTGCAGTGAGCCGAGATAGGGCCATTGCATTCCAGCCTGGGCAGCAAGAGCGAAACTCCATCTCAAAAAAAAAAAAAAAAACCACGAAAAGGGCATTCACTTGAAGGAATCATTTGAACTCGTATGCTATTTTTCTGTCTGTGGAAAAACGTCTTTCAATTTACCTGGTTTTCAGAGCACAATTAATTTCTCCTTTAGGGCAGAAGACTGTGAATGCTTAAGTAGTACAGTATTATTAAACACATTTGGAGTAGGGAATTGGGAGAAAAAAAGTTGGGATCATTTTAGTATATGGTGGGAAGGCATTGAAGATTTTGAGCCAATGAGTGATATGATTGGACCTCCATTATAGTGGTTATCAATATAGAAATGAAACATACAATTTTAAATTCCAAATAAGGAGTCATCCATGTAATGATCATGTTTGTACCTTTGAGGATAAATAAAACTGAACTTCTGAGCGTAAGCTCTTCCTTGAGTTTTGTCATCTATCAAATATTCATGTAACAGATAAGAATGTATTTTATGTGTCAGGGATTGTGCTGGGCACTAGTGTGAGAAAAAGACATTTCCTGCTTTCACAGTAATCACGGGGATATAGACGTTCATCAGTTAATTACACTAATGAATGTAGATTACTGATGTCTGTTGATGAAATGAGCATAGAAGGATAGAAATCAGAGGATGGCAGAATAGTTACCCACTATTAAGAGTGGAAAGGATTTAAAAAAAAAGACTGTTGAAGAGATTTTTTTAAAAAATGCAAAGGAACAGAAAAAACAAGGAGAATAGAATGTTTAAGCTGCAAGATAAGTTCTTGAAAATCATTCGTTTCCATAATTGAGTAAATGAATACTGAGTAAAAAGGGCACAAATTTGTCAAAATCATTAGTAATACTTGAGAGTTGGTGGGGGTTGGAAATGAATTTAGGGTTTTCATTTGTAGGTTGGAATTAATCTTATGCTATTTCTGCCTGAAGGTTGGAATTAATCTTATACTATTTCCATTTGTAGATTAGAATTAATTTTATTGTGCTATTTTGACTTTAATCTCAGCTCATACCTCACTTTCTTAGGATTTTCTGAGTCAAGGTCAGGGCTTTTTGTTATTTATTGTCAAAGCACACACATACTTAACATTTTGAGAAATAATTGCAGTAGAGATTTAATAATTTATGTAACAATACTTGTTTAAAATGTTTGTCACCTGTTCTAGAATATAAACTTCGTGAAGACAAGGACCATGTCTAGCATGGGAGAAGGCACGTTGCCTTGCATGTAAGAAGTGATCAGAAATATTTATGGATAGATAATTGAATGTGTGGTATCTTCAGGAAGGTTCAGAGAACACCATGTTTCTTACTTTAGTGTCATTCTAGACCTGTAGATGAGCAGTAAGTAATCTTATTGATGGAGGAGCATAGAAACTTCTCACTGGACCATGGCTTAAAAACTAGGGTCTTGAGTCTGGTTTGTGATTCTCACTACAGCCTTCAGTCCTATCATGAGAATATTTTCCACTTTTTTCTTTTCTTTTTTCTTTTTTAGTAAAAATATGTAAGAGGAACTTATAGAAATTTTTGTGACTTTGAGCAATAAAAAACATTATTGAAATATTTTCAGGTCCTATATGAAATAGACTTATAAATAGTACTTTATAGGTAGTACAAATAGATAATTGTTATATAGTAAAATTGATTTAAATTGATTTGAATTAATTTTTATATTAACTTTTTTCAACTTTTTGAATTTTAATTTCATAGGTTAATTTCACCTACCAGTTTTTGAAAAAGAAGTTCTATATATTTAGCCAATTTATGTATGATGAACACATCAAATCCAGATTGATTAAAGATATTCGATTTTTCAGGGAAATTAAGGACCAAAATGATCATAAGGTAGGCTACCTATTCTTTTTAAGGTGTTTGATTCAGCTGTTGAGTATATGGCAAATGTGTATGCTAAAATTCATTACTTAGATCTCTATTGGGGTTTTAGTTTTATTTTTCGTATAATTTCTTACTCTGCATTATCTGTAGGCTTAAGGTAAGGAAAAAATTAAATCATAAATGTAGCCAGGTGATACTTTTCTTTATTTTAAAATAATATAAAAGCAGGACATGCTTATTTTGAAACATTTAAGCAATACAGAGTGAATAAACTGAATATCCACCTTCATTTTTCTTTCCATTCCATTTTCTGGAGGCAGTCGCTAACAATGTAGTGTGAAGGCTTTCAGATATCTTTGTATATAAACATGTATATTTACACACATATATTGCTTTTTGGTAGTAAAAATGGAGTAATAGTATACATAGCATTTTGCACTGTGCTCATCACATGTCACTACATACAGATCTGCTTCATCCCAAGAGTTGATAGGGATACATCCATGTATATCATAACTTATTTAACCCTCTTCTGTTGACCAATATTTAGGTTTTTCTAATTTTTCATTCTTACAAACAATGTTACAGTGACATCTTTACACATCTATCTCTGTAAATATAGACTTTCTGAAAACTTCCTTAAGGAGAAATTTCTAGGACAAAGAATATGAACATTTAAAATTCTGGTACATATTGCCTAGCACTCCAAAAACAATTCACTATTGATATTCTCGCTGATAGTTCATACAAATGCTGCTGTTAGCCGGGTGCAGTGGCTCATTCCTGTAATCCAGCACTTTGAGAGGCCAAGGTAGGTGGATCACTTGAGCAAAGCATTTGAGACCAACCTGGGCAACATGGCGAAACCTCATCTCTACTAATAATACCAAAATTAGCTGGGCATGGTGGCACATGCCTGAAGTCCCAGATGCTTAGGAGGCTGAGTGTATTAATCTGTTCTCATGCTGCTATAAAGAAATATCTGTGACTGGGTAATTTATAAAGGAAAGAGGTTTAATTGACTCACAGTTCTGCATGGCTGGGGAGACCTCAGGAAATCATGGCGGAAGGCACCTCTTCACAGAGTGACGGGAAAGAAAGAGTGTCCAGTGAAGCGGGAAGCCCCTTATGACAACCATAAGATTTTGTGAGAACTGACTCACTATCATGAGAACAGGGTAGGGGAAACTGCCCCCACGATTCAGTTATCTCCATCTCATCCCTCTCAGGACATGTGGGGATTATGGGAACTACAATTCAAGATGAGATTTGGGTGGGGACAAAGGCAAGCTATATCACTGAGGCACAAGAATCACTTGAACCTAGGAGGCGGAAGTTGCAGTGAGTTGAGATCATGCCACTGCTCTTCAGCCTGGGTGACAGAGCAAGATTCTGTCTCAAAAAAAGAGAATGCTATTGTCCTTTCACCTTCCAGGCTGTTTTCCCATAGTGAAGTGAAGAGTCTGTTGGATTAAGTGGCAGCAGGTGCATGTAGCCATGTGGTTGGAGAACCAATAGGCTTAGATGGGTCCTATATTTGATTTGCCATATACGGAACTATTTTAATTACTTTTCTTAAGATTCACCTAGTACCAGCCTGGCCAATACGGTGAAACCCTGTCTCTACTAAAAATATAAAAATTAGCCGGGAGTGGTGGTGGACGCCTGTAGTCCCAGCTGCTCGGGAGGCTGAGGCAGGAGAATCGCTTGAACCTGGGAGGCAGAGGTTGTAGTGAGCCGAGATCACGCCACTGCACTCCAGCCTGGGCGACAGAGCGAGACTCGGTCTCAAAAAAAAAAAAAAAAGATTCACCTAGTAGTTCCAGCTCTCTTGTATAATGGCAGTTCTCTTTAGTGCCAGAGTAGCAAAATATTACTTTCTAGGATAATCTGATAAAATTACAGATTACGTTTGTCAGTAGAGGATTGTATTAACTCATTTTTTTTTTGAGACTGTGTCTTGCTCTGTCACCGAGGCTGGAGGGCAGTGACACAATATCGTCTCACTGCAGCCTCCGCCTCCTGGGTTCAAGAGATTCTCTTGCCTCAGCCCCCCGAGTAGCTGGGATTAAAGGTGCATGCCACCACACCCAGCTAAGTTTTTTATTTTTAGTAGAAACAGGGTTTCACCATGTTGGCCAGGCTGGTCTTGAACTCCTGACCTAGTGATCAGCCCGCCTCTGCCTCCCAAAGTGCTGGGATTACAGGCGTGAGCCACTGCGCCCAGCCCATTTTATTAGAGCAGAAATTCCTAGTATTTAGAGATAAATATTCATGCTATTATGTAAGAATTGCTTTATTATTACAAAATGAATAATTTCCTAAATCTCCTAATCAACCAAGACCAAAAAGTAGTTTTTTTATTGGTGATGGTTACTAGAAATTTTAACCCAGCTGACGTGTGTTTATTGGGAAAGAGTATGTTTCTAAGTCCCTAATACCTATTCAGTCCACAGAAACTTGGTCACATATCTGTGAACAGGTGTTTCTGGGAGAAATTGGTTTCTTTTTTCTGTTAGAGTTGTTGGGGGTTAGGAGACTAATTGTGGTAGGGAAATTAGGTTAGTGGCATTGATTATTAGTCACTTTAGCTAATGTCAAAAAGAAAAAAATTATATTCACCTTGAACATTGGTAGTCTGTGAATTTTTTATTAATGTTAATTTAATTAATTTTTAAGCACATTGAAATACAAAATTAAAAGGAGAGTGGTATTGGCATGGTTTATTTGGGAAGCATTTTGTGCTTTAGAAATCTTTATTAAAAGTAGCCTTAAAATTTTCTGTGTAGTATCCTTTTGATAGAGCAGAAAAATTCAATCGAGGCATCAGAAAACTTGGAATAACACCTGAGGGACAGAGCTACCTTGATCAATTCAGACAACTCATCAGCCAAATTGGTAAGTTATGATAAAAGTGTCAGGAAATCAAGTACAGATCCCTACAGTCTATCTCATATATTAACTGTTTCACACTAATAAGCAGCTCATGTGAAAGTCTGAGCTCAACTTTACTCTACTCATCTAATTTTTTTACCCCCAAAATTTGTAAGTATGATTAGACTGTTGCTGCAGAAATAATTGACAGACTATAGACTGATCATTTAAATAAAACCTCTTCAATTATAATAAAACTTATTTAATAACAAAATCTCCAAGGTCATATTAATAATTGTAAACTGGTAAGTACTTATCGAATACCCGCTCTGTTCAAGGCACTGTTTTGGGCTTCTAAAAGGTTCACACAAGTTCCAGTCTAAATGTGAAGGTATAAAGTATTTACATGAAAAGTTATTAAGTTCTATGTTACACCATCTTACTTGTGCACATAATGTATTGTCCTTCTGCCCTTACAAGTGGAACTTGTCTTCTGATATATAGTACTTTATATTTAAAAGAACTACATTTCATAATAATCATAGCTTAACAAAACTTTATATTTATTTGAGCTTTTCACATACATTATCTTTATGTTCACAATAACCCTGTGAGATAGGCATGTAATTGTTTTAAAGATGAAAAAAGAGAAACTTAGAGAAAGAAGTAAGTCGTGTTTCTGGGACTTAAACCGGGGTTATTTAGCTATAAGTCCAAATGGATTTTATATTCTTGACAGTTTATATTAACACCAAACAGTAAAATCTTACTGACTATATTTTGGGAAAATTATGCCTTGTGAGATTGATTTATTCATTTATCAAGCATTTACTAAGCATCTGTTTTGCCACATTTTCTGTTAGGTGCTGGGAATACCAACCCCTTTGCTTTCAGGAGACTTTAGGTTTACCAGTGGGTAATATGTTATAAGCATTTCATTGTTGAGTAAAGTTTTATCAGTTAATCGATTTGCATATTAGGCATTTCTATTATGTTTTAGTGCAAGAACTTGGAGAATTTTACCTTTGTAAATGTTTTATTATAAACCATTCAATATGAAGTATTGTCAAATAAGTACTGTTTTCTTCAAGAGGACATTTAATATTAGGCGGCAAACTTACGGAGCAGTAGTTCTTAACCTTTTTTGAGAATCTGAGGAAAACTCCGGGATGATTCTTCCAGAACTAATGCCTATATGACATATGGGCACAATTTTGTATATAATATGCTAGAGTCCATGTGCTTAAAGCTTGGGTCTGTAGACCTCAGATTAAGAGCTATCCTTCTAGAGCAGTGTTACTTAAGTTTTATTTATTCACATAAGCAGAATTTTTGCATCCTGTTAATACTGTCTTCACTATTGTTTCATGTTTTTATATTTTTTGAAAGTGTAATTTTTCCGTAGAAATAACAGTTGTTAAATCATAGTCCTTAAAATGCTAGTCATTTTTGCCCTAAATACATAATCACTAAGTGTTCTTTGGTGTGCCATCTAATGTCACCTTGATTACCACTAAGTTGCAGTCCACAGTTGGGGAATATTATCCTTTTTATTTTATTCCATCATTTTACTCTTTATTCTCTTCTTAGAAAATATAAATTCTTTTTTTTTTTTTTTGTGAGACAGAGTCTTGCTCTGTCACTCGGGCTGGAGTGCAGTGGCACGATCTCAGCTCACTGCAACCTCTGCCTCCCGGGTTCAAGCAATTCTCCTGCCTCAGCCTCCTTAGTATCTGGGACTTCAGGTGCCCGCCACCACACCCTGCCAAGTTTTGTATGTTTAGTAGAGACAGGGTTTCACCATGTTGGCCAGGATGGTCTTGATCTCCTGACCTCGTGATCCATCCGCTTCTGCCTCCCAAAGTGCTGAGATTACAGGTGTGAGCCACTGTTCCTGGCCAATACAAATACTTTACCTCTGCTTATAAAACACTGTAATGGGCCGGGCGCGGTGGCTCACGCCTGTAACCACAGCACTTTGGGATGCCGAGGCGGGCGGATCACAAGGTCAGGAGATCGAGACCATCCTGGCTAACACGGTGAAACCCCGTCTCTACTAAGAATACAAAAATCAGCTGGACGCGGCAGCATGTGCCTATAGTCCCAGCTGTTGCGGAGGCTGAGGCAGGAGAATGGCGTGAACCCGGGAGGCGGAGCTTTGCGGTGAGCTGAGATCGCGCCACTGCACTCCAGCCTGGGTGACAGAGCGAGCCTCTATCTCAAAAACAAAAACAAAAACAAAAAAACACTGTGTAATGTGCTTTTGAGTCTGATAAATACCTTGAGAAAAGGTGTAAAGAATCTGGGGGCAAAATGGAAAGCCTTTTTGACTAATAACTTGCCTGCTGAAATAATAATAATTAACATTTATTGAGCATTTACTGTGTGCCATGGCTATTCTTAGTGCTTTATATGTTTTAACTCATGTGAATCTTACCACAACATTTATGAAATATTACTTTCCTTCATTCACTGCACGAGTATTCATTCAGTACAACAAATGTTTCTAGGTGCTGATGATATTTATGACAGTAAACAAAGTCTCTGTCCTTATTGAGCTTAATTTACCAGATGAGAAGACTGAGATACAGAGAGGTAACAAAACATAATTTGTAGGTCTCCTAGCTAACATGTGGGAGACCAGATTTGAACCCAGGTGGCCTGGCTTCAGAGCTTTTACTCTTAATTGCCGCTCTATACTAGGCATTCCTATTTTGCTTCATCAGACTTTGGTCTGATGGTTTGGAGGAAAACAATGAAACTAGACATTTGACTTTTTAAAGATGGACATTAAAAAAATTTTAATGTCATCTCTCATATTGGGATAGGCCTTAAAATAGATTCAGTGTTAACTTTTATGTAGGGTTGTTGAAAACTTCAGATAAGATAATGTATGTAAAATGTATATTACTCATGATTATGAAATGTTAACTCCTTTTTACATTTTCGTCTGTTCTTTCTTTCAAGTCATTTCAATAAAGTTTAATTGTAAATTGAATTCCTGCTATTTGCCAGGACATGTTGGCTCTAGGGATGGAGCAGTGAAGACGACAAAGGCTGTACTCATGGATCTTGCACTCTAGGTGGGGGAAGATGCAGACAGAAAAATACATAGTATGTCAGTGATAAGTGCTGGGTAAGGAGATATAAGGGGGCTGGGCAGTGCTAGTCAGTAATGTTCAGGGAAAGCAGGAGGTGACTTTTGAGCAGGGACCTAAATAAGGTCGGGGAGTAAGCCATGTGCATCTGGGGAAAGAGTCTACCAGACAGAGGCAACAGTAAGTGCAAAAGCCCTGATTCGTTTCACATTTTTGAAATATTGGTTTCATAATATTGAAATAGTCAGGGGCTGGAATGGAGTAAGCAGAGGTCTAAGTGGCAGGGCATGCTATCTGAACAGTAGCAAAGGACAAGATCATGCAGGGCTGTTTTGACCACATAAAGAAATTGGGTTTTATTCTGAGGTGGAAAGCCATTACAGCATTTTCAGAAAAAGCATGATAAGGGGCCTGGCATGGTGGCTCACACCTGTAATCCCAGCACTTCGGGGGGCCGAGGTGGGTGGATCACCTCAGGTCAGGAGTTCGAGACCAGCCTGGCCAACATGGTGAAACCCCATCTCTACTTAAAAAAAACAAAAATTAGCCAGGCATGGGGGCGGATGCCTGTGATCCCAGCTACTTGGGAGGCTGAGGCAGGAGAATCGCTTGAACCCTGGAGGTGGAGGTTGCAGTGAGCTGAGATCACACCACTGTACTCCATCCTGGGTAACAGAGGGAGACTCTGTCTCAAAAAAAAAAAAAAAAAAGAAAAGAAAAAGCACTATACGTTCCAACTTAGTTTTTAAAAATTCACTAGCGGCTCTATAGATGTTATACAACACTGGGGAATGTGGCAGGATGCTAAAGGTGAAAGTAGGGAAATCAGGAGGCCAGTACATATTGCAGTGCTCCAGCCAAGAGATGGTGATGGATTGATTGGATAGGAGGATATCTGTGGAGGGGGTGAATGAAAAGTGGGTGGATTCTGGCTACATTTTCAAGGCAAAGTCAACATAATTTGCCCGGTAATTGGATTATAAAGTGTGAGAGAAAGGAGCCAGGGATGACTTCAAGACATTTGGCTTGAGCAACTGAAAGGATAGAATTGCCAGTTTCTGAGATAGGCAGAATTGGGGATAAAGATCCTGAGCTTGCACTGGACATATTAAATATAAAATTCTATTAGACATAAAGGTGTAGGCATTGGATGAAAAAACCTAGAGTTTAGAGGAGGAGTCCAGGCCAGACATATAAATTTGGGAGGCATCAAATAAAGATTTCTTGATATCACTTCCAATTGTGTGTGTGTGGGAGATTGAATCTCATTGTGAGAGTGGAGAAATTATTGATATTATAATTTTAAGTTTGACCATTTTAATGTAGTCAGCATTTAATGATTTTAGTTTATCAAATGAAAGTAATGTTTATTTTTAAATATTTAATATAGTTGTATATAAGTATATATTTTGAGTGTAGGAATATGTGACAGTTTTACTTTTTATGGAACAAGAACTGAAGTAAAATATAGCAAAATATTTTGGTACTTAGGAGTAGAAACCTTGTAATTTACTACTGTATATAACTATATTCCTATTAGAATTTAGAGTTATTTATATAAATATCTGATTTTTTTGTGTGGTTTTTAAGGTAATGCTATGGGCTATGTACGAATGATAAGATCTGGTGGTCTTCATTGTAGCAGCAATGCCATTAGGTATGGATGCAAACATCATTTTTGCCTTGTTTATGCCATTTTAAAAATTATGTCCATTAAATATTTGTTACAAATGATATTGTAGATAAGGTGTTTGTTCTTGATATATTTTGAGATAAAATATGGAAGAAAACTATTCTAGATTTTTCTCAAATTTTAAGACTGCAGCAGACTTCTGAAAATATTTCTCTTAAGGTTATAGTTAATTTATCAATATGGTTTATGAATGCATGTAAAAATTACATGATTTTAAGGATTAAAATATTCATATCTAAAATTCAATTTGGACCTAAAGTGGTGATATGAATAATAACTGAAATGCACAGTTGTTTCCAAATACATAGTTGAAAATTTTAGTGTCCTGCAGTACCACTTTCATATCTGTGTCAATTGTACATATTTTACTTGACCTAATAAATGCCTTCCCAAATTCTCATGTAGATTTGTTCCTGATCTTGAAGATATTGTAAATTTTGAAGAACTGGTAAAAGAAGAAGGTCTTGCAGAAGAAACGTTAAAAGCAGCAAGGTAATCTAAATTTGGAGATATAAAAAAGTGTGTTTATAAAAAACATTCTGAACAGAAGACTAGAGGGTAATATGTAATTTATATGCCACTGTTTTTATTATACAAAATTATGGTCTCAGTTTATGAAGTATAATTTTTAAGACTTCAGTAGTCTAAGACCTTTCCAGCTTCTAGAACATGCCGTCCAGTATTTCAGCCACTAGCCACACATGGCTCTTGAGCACCTGAAATTTGGCTGATCCAAATTGAGATGTGCTCAAGTATAAAGTACATAACTAATCTTGAAGATTTAATATAAAAGGAGGAACGCCAAATACCTCAATCATAAAATTCATTTCACCTGTTTTCTTTTTACTTTTTAAAATATTTCTCTTCACCAACAGTATTCTAGAATGCTGGTCCCTTCGTGTACGTAATCTAAGCACTGTAGCCACTACCATATATGGCTGGTAAACACTTAAAATATGGCAAATGTGACTGGGGAATTGAAGTATACATTTTATCTTAATTTAAATTTAAATAGCTAATGTCTATCTTATTGAACAGTGCAGGACTTGAGTCAGTTGTGATATTGTAACATAAAACAGGAGGCATGCGGAATTGCTAAGAATATGTTTAGAAAACTGTATGTTTTATTCATACTTATAGCAGGTTATTGAATCAGGCATGAAGGGGCACCCCTGGGCAAAGGGGAGACAATTTGATAAAAAAGAATAATGATAGATAAAAATCTGTTGAATAAAAAAGAATCAATGAGTCATAATGATAAGAAGGATTATCAGAAGATCATAATGATAAGAGAATGAAAGTCATTTCTTTATGGAAGAATGCATGTTAAATTTAGGGGGGGAATTATAACCATCACTCTAATACTTTAAATCAAGCAAGAATCCCCAGTGGTTTCTAAAACATGAGGTGAAAAGTTTTTAGAGAACAGGATTCATTCAGTAATTCATCTCATGAAATTGTTTATTAATTACAAAGGAGAAAACTGTCTTTACAGTGGAGAAATATATTCTACCTTGGCCAAGTGATCAAACTTAACATCACCAGTAATGGGGCAGACAGATGTTATATGGCCTCTTGATGCAATGCAATGGCAAGTACCTAGTTTGTATTCTTGCCAGAAGTGTTTATCCTGAATTTATTAGGAGGAAATGTCCTGAAAAATTTAGAATGTGAGCATTTTATGAAACATTTGGCATGGACAAAAAGTACAAGGAAATTGTTCTGGATTAGGAGAATAAAGAGACCTGATAATCATATGTAATGGGTGATACTTAATCGTATCCTAGATAAGGAAAGAAATAGCTGTAAAGGACATTTGAGGAATAACTGGGGGACATTTGAACATGCATTGTATATTAGTTAATACTGTATTTTATTCTTGGGTATAACAGTGTTCTGTGGCTTTGTAGAAAAATGTTTTCATTCTTAATAGATTCATGCCAAAGCATTAATGGACTAAGTGATAAAAGGTCCACAACTTTCAAGTGTTTCAGAAAAATAGAGAAAACAGTTGTGTCAAAATGTTAACAGGTGGTGAATCTAGTTGAAGAGTATACAGATGTTCATTATACTAAATTTTAACGTTTTGATAGACTTGAAATTTTTTTAAAAAAGGAAGTATATGGGAAAATGCATGCATTTCTATGAGAATAAGGCCCCAGCACAAAAGCTTTGCTCTAGAATAGTCTGTTAGATAGCTTAGCTCTTTGCCAAATTACATAAGCCATGTGCAAAGTTAAGCTGTTTGAAGTCATGTGCCTGAAAATTGTTTAAATAGTTTGTGATGTGTATCTCAAAGGAAAGGATCAGACCTTTACCTTATGTTAAATGATGCCATTCACTCCAAAACTGTTGACTATTTGAAAAATATTTTGAAGCAATGTGAGGAAATCAGAGAGTAGGATATTGTCTTATAAGATCTCTAGGGTAAAGCTGATTGCTAATTGCAAGATCCAGATTGGTGCAAGGGAGTGGTTGATTGAAGTCAAGGAAATGTAGGGTCACGATAATGAATAGATTATCTGCCTAGACAGTGGAGACCTGGAGCAGGCATCCTAATCCTGCGTAATTGTAGGATAGTGGTTAAAAGGTTAGTAGATGTCTGCTGTTAGGAAGAAGTAGTTGAGTATTTGGGTAGTTAGATATAGCTGGATTATGTGAGTCATAAAGGAAGATTTCTTCCTTACAGTGGTGGAGGAATAATTGAAAGTGGTAGTAGCTGTACCTGAGGGATGCAGGAGAAAAAGCAGCTGATGTTTTTGAAGATTGAGAGGGAAACTGAGTTCTTGAAAAGAGAGCCAAGTTTAAGTTGAGGTAAGGGAATGTAGGAGAAACGTTAGAGATTTAAGGGGAAGAGGAAATTATTTACAATGAAGAGGAGTTCTACAGGCCTTACGGTGGGAAGAAGAAATACGGAACTATTATTTTAAGTCCCAAGATGTTCTAATAGTCTATTTTTGGGACTAAATTTACTAATATTGATCAGTTTTCTGTCCGTAAGAAAATGAGTTTATTCTGAACTCCAAGAAAATTTGTTTAGAAGTGTCTTATAGTGTTTCCTGCTTTTTGAATGTTCTTATGTAAATAATTGAGACATGGATTTTTTTTTTCAAAGCCACGCTTCTTTTGAGAAAGGAACCAAATAATTTTTTGCTTTTTAGGCATTTGGATTCAGTCCTCAGTGATCACACACGAAATTCTGCTGAAGGCACAGAATATTTCAAAATGCTTGTAGATGTTTTTGCTCCAGAATTTCGAAGGCCAAAGAATATACATCTCCGAAATTTCTATATAATTGTTCCCCCTCTGGTGAGTATTTCCAGAACCTAAAATGAATTAAAAAAAAAAAATAGGAACAAATAGATCTGGTTTCTTTGTAACATGAAATGCATACAGACTACACTATTAATTTCCTTGTTGTATATAAAACTAAATGTGATCTCAGTGAATGTGACATAGAATTTTTACTTGTTAGCTGTGCTGAAGGACACTTACTTATCGTTAGATTTTTTTTTTTTTCTGAGATGGGGTCTTGCCCTGTCATCCAGGTTGGAGTGCGGTGGTGTGATCATGGCTTACTCAGGCTTGACCTCCTGGGCTCAAGCCAGCCTCCTGCCTCAGCCTCCCTAGTAGCTGGGACTACAGGTGTGCACCACCATGCCTAATTTTTGTAATTTTTTTTTCTTTTTAAGATACAGGGTCTCACTGTTACCCAAGCTGGTCTTGAACTCCTGGACTCAAGGAGTCCTCTTGCCTCGGCCTCCCAAAGTGCTGAGATTACACGCATGAGCCACCACGTGTGGCCTAAGATAGATTCTTATTTTTTAAAATAATTACTGGAGAAATTTGAGTGTTTTTTAAGTTATATGAGTATATGCCATAGAATCTTTGGGCAGAATTATTAATATATAATCATTTTAAGTGCTTAATGTAGACTAGCTGTTATTATAGTTTTTTCTAACACATTTCTTAAAGCATATTGTTTCAAGATAACTTCTCTCTATTCAGTAGTAAATACTAACATGTAGACTAAATTTTTAATGCTTCTTAATGTGTTCTTGCTCTAACTCTGTAGTTGCTATCTAAAAGTAGTTCAAGTTATCAAAAATTGCATTATAAAAATAGCTGCTGGCCGGGCGCGGTGGCTCAAGCCTGTAATCCCAGCACTTTGGGAGGCCGAGATGGGTGGATCATGAGGTCAGGAGATCGAGACCATCCTGGCTAACACGGTGAAACCGCATCTCTACTAAAAAATACACACACACACACAAAACTAGCTGAGCGAGGTGGCGGGCGCCTGTAGTCCCAGCTACTCGGGAGGCTGAGGCAGGGGAACGGCGTGGACCCGGGAGGTGGAGCTTGCAGTGAGCTGAGATCCGGCCACTGCACTCCAGCCTGGGCTACAGAAGGAGACTCCGTCTCAAAAACAAAACAAAACAAAACAGCTGTTCCATTAGGGAAAATGGAGTTAAGAGTTTAAGAGGTATATATTAGTAATAAAGAGTGGTTTTCACTTAAAGGTTCCTATAAGATTTAAAAAAAATTGTAAGTAGATAGCTTTAAAAATCTAAATATCACCCAGCAGTTGAAGCTCTTTATTAAATTTAAATTTGATCAAGAATAGTGACTTTTCATATTACTGCCTAAGTTGTTAACATATCTTCTTACATATTAAAACCATTATTACCTATTGAAAGTAACTAATAGCCTGTAAACAGCTTTTTTCCATGAATTTTGTTTCTTTTATACATTTGTTAATTTTCTATCATAATTGTATTTTAACTGTGATATAGCAAAAAATGTTCATATTCATCTGATAAGAATCTTTTCATCTTAAGATGGTGTCAAACTGGAGGGGAGAGTGTCTTATTTGGTAATACTAGAGTTAACTTGGAGTGAGTTCTCACCATATTTTTTTAATTTGAAGGGCAGTGTACTCAAACCATTGTAGACAGCAGTGAACCCATTGGTAAGCTTAGGGAAAAGTCTAGAGTTTTACAAGGCAGTTGTTAGAAGTCGCTTAGTGATGGAGAAAACAAAGTGGATTAAGAGCACTACAAAGAAGTATAGAATCCTGTTCTTGTACTTGAGTTTGTAGTGTAGTTCCAGAAAAAAGACAAGCATAAATGAGATTTCTAAAAATGGTTGAATTAATGATTGATGAAAAATTCACAAGTAGGTGATTAATTGCTGAATAAGTTCCACAGTCAAAAAAATGAAACTTGGTTTTGTTTCCAGTGTAGGCTTAGCACACTGTATATGATAATTAGTTTTTAAACACTTCTGCATTTACTCTCCTAGAGCTGTGCTATCCATGTGTAGTCATATGTGGCTACTTTAATTAAAATTTCATAAAATCATAAGGCAGGGTGAAAAAAATAAAAATACTTTTTTAAAAATTAAAAATTCAGCTTGTCAGTCACACTAGCCTCATTTCAAGTGTTCTGTGGCCGCTTGTGATTAGTGGCTTACTGTATGTACCAGATGGTGCAGATACACATTTCTGTCCCTGCCAACAGTGTTGCTCTAGACTCTGGACTCTAGATAGTAATCATTTGTTTAATCATAAGTACTTAATAACGCTGGTATATTGTAAGCTTCAGTAAATCTTTGTTGAATAAAAGATAAGATTAGATAAGGCATTTTGGAAGAGCTGAATTTTCAAGAGACGTACTGTTTTGAGGACTTCACACTTAAGAACATGAAAAGAAATAGTATTTTCAAATGAATTAGGTAGATGTAAGTAAGGACTGTCTTGCCTGTGTTTTTAAGAGTATTTGTGCTTTGAAGTAAAGCAGGCCTACTTTAATAACTCCAGGTTCACTTAATATATGACTTTGGGTGAGATAATCTCCCAAAGCTCAGTGTCCTTCTCTGTATAATGTGCATAATATTTTATAATGAAATATACAAGGCACTGTTCTTGGGTTAAGTAGTGATTGAGTGAGTGCCCATATTTAAAGGACTTGGAAAGGAGAGCCATGAAGATACACTTGTATAGATTGTATCTTCACCAAGAGAGCACCTAAGGCAAATGTTTCAGATGAAAAGGACTGGAACCTAGATTCTATTCTATTCTATTTATAGTGATTCTATTTATAATTTTTGAAATGTCTGTTTTAGGAATTCTGAAGATTTTCTTAGTAAAATTGTTTTTCTGACATCTTGTTACATCTTTTTAGACCCTGAACTTTGTAGAACATTCCATTAGTTGCAAGGAAAAACTAAATAAAAAAAATAAAATTGGAGCTGCCTTTACTGATGATGGCTTTGCCATGGGTAAGTTTAATGGAATTGTTTTTCCATTAATTTTATGTTGACCTTGTAATGGATTCTTAGAAACATTTGCTTGAGAATAGGTCTATATGGTCTTTATAGATTTATTTTTCATGAGCATTTTTTACTATGTTTTTTAGCTGGAATATGTGATTGACAATACTTGTTTTCTATAGTTTATAACTTATTTAATGCCTTCTTAGTATTGCTAATCACTTGTCTACTTTGGCCTAATATTTAGGCTTTGTTTTTGTTGGGGCTGTACAGTTTTAACATCTTATATTTAGTTTCTCTGGTTTCCTTGTAGCTTCCTCAATTGCCATCTTTTTAGCAGTCGAATTGTTTTTGTTTTTTTCCTTTCTTTTTGAGGCAGGGTCTTGCTCTGTCAGCCTGACTGGAGTACAGTGGTGCAGTCATGGTTCACTGCAGGCTTGACCTCCTGGACCCAAGCGATCCTCCCACCTCAGCCTCCCAAGTATCTGGGACTATAGGCACGCATCGCCACATCTGGCTAATTAAAAAAAATTTTTTTTTTTTAAGAGACAGGAGTCTCACTATGTTGCCCAGGTTGGTCTTGAACTCCTGGGCTCAAGAAGTCCTCTAGCCTCAGCCTCCCAAAGTATTGGGATTATAGGCACAAGTCATGGAAATTTTTATTTACCCTTACAGCTATATCGTTTCTCCAGGTGATTTATATGGCCATGGTAGTTATTTGTTTTCTTCTTAATTGACTTGTCTTTAGTTTGTTATACTTCTACATTGGTTTTAAGGAGGAATTAAGCCATTTTGTTAAACCTGTCGTTCATTTATGCTGTAGAATGTAACTTGAAAGGGGACAAACTTAAAATGCTAGGAATTACTACTCAAAATGTTTAGTGTTAGGAATTATTGGTGAAGGAGTAGAATATGACTTCTGTACTCACCGTAATTTAACCTTAGTTTTGCTGATGGCTGCAGGTGTGGCTTACATTCTAAAGCTTTTGGATCAGTACCGGGAGTTTGACTCACTTCACTGGTTCCAGTCTGTTAGAGAGAAATACCTGAAGGAGATCAGAGCAGTTGCTAAGCAACAGAATGTGCAGTCGGCCAGTCAAGATGAAAAACTCTTACAAACCATGAATCTCACTCAAAAGCGACTGGATGTCTATCTACAGGTAGAGGAGCCTAAGAGTCACATCTGCTTTGACTTACTGTTTGATATCCATGACTTCTTAATGTCTGAAAAGCAGAAGCCATATAGAAACCCCCATTTTCACAAGTGAAATGAATAGTGGCAAAAAGATTATATTTTAAAATGAATGCTATTTGGAAGCCATTTGACTCAGATCTTAAAAACGGGCGGGTTTGCATATATTTTTGGTGTTTTGCCATAATAAGTATTTTTGGTTTTTATTTCAAATTTTTTAAATTTACCTTAGGAATTTGAATTGCTATATTTCTCACTGAGCAGTGCAAGAATTTTCTTCAGAGCAGACAAGACTGCGGCTGAAGAAAACCAAGAAAAGAAAGAGAAGGAAGGTCAGTGAGTGGTTTACATTTGGAAAGACCAATAAATGTCTTGAGTAATAGATAGTAATGTACCATTTTATTTGGTCAGACATCCAGCTTCTTTGTCCTTTTGGAAAATAACACAGACCTAGCAAGAAGTCTTTTAAAAAAAAGTAAAGCCTATATAGATCTTGTGTAAAATTGAAAAGGAATTTATATAGTTTATGCATTTCACGCTTGGTAACCCTTTAAGCCCTTGTTCAGGATCATCTGCTTTTAATTTAAATATACTTTTCACAAGTTTGGTTTTTCTTTCATGGCCCAAATTGTATTAGATTTGAAGGAACAAATTAGAGGAGGACAGCTAAATGTTGCTGAAGGCAGAGCTGCTGCTGACTGATGTTGACTGAATGAGATGGGACAGATGATTAAAGAAGTATAAAATCATAGGGGCTATTTAGTTGTAGTAAATAGCATTCTGCCTTCTTTCATAGTCAGGCCCTGGAGACTCAGGCAGTATAACCATAATAACTGATAGTGATTTCAGTGAACTTCAGTCATTAAGGAAAGGATTCTGTCCATTGTATTCTGTGTAGGATGGTGGAAAGGAATCTATACTTTTTAAGGCATAAGAGCATTGCTCAGTGTTTCATATATAACGTCCCCATGTTATATTTCTCTCTGATTTGAAATTTAGGAATAATCATCTTCTCTGAGGAACAGATGTTTCCCTTTTTCTGTCATGGAAATCGTGTAGCGTACATTTCTCTTTGCTTGGAGGATCAATAGTAGATACAGCAACTAGTTGACCGTTATAATTTTCATGTTTACTAGTCTCCTTTTTGTCTTGTTTCATGAAGTTTTCATAAATCAAGATAAAAAGCTCTTCATAAAACAAGATGTTTTTGTTAATCTTATGTTAATTTTTAAAATATACCTTTTTTCTTTATATATATAGAGGTGACTCATTTGGATAGACCACTTAGATGAACTACCTTATTTCTTGACATTGTTGCATAAATTAAATATTACTTACTAATATTACTTATTAGGTGCGTATCCAGGCATTTTTTTGAATCTAGACTAAATAAACATGCTTGAAAAAATTGTTTCAGCTTATTAATCCAGAAGATATTCAGTATTAAATGAAAATTTATACATACTACATTTGTGTTCGTTTTCAAGGTTAAATTAGCAAAGCCATTTGAAAGAATTTGAATCAATATAAATTATGAAGAAACTCAGTGATTGCCTCAGTTCTACTCATGTGTTTCATGATGCCAGACCTTTTCCCCAGCCCATGTGACTGGGAAAACTGTGAGTCGATTGGACATTTGCTTTCAGGCTAAAGCCTTAAAACAAAACAAACAGCCCTTTAGTCTTATGGCAGTGGGATTTCTTGCTTTGGCCTGTTCCTCTTAAGGAACTCTCCGGGGTTGCAGTTGTTATATATCACTCACATCACTGTTCTAAGACTATTTCAGCTTGCTCAGAGATATAGTCAGAGTTTCTGAATACATTAGTCAAACAGTCTTTGTCTGTTAATGAAATATGAACACATGACATTTTGCACAAAAAGCCAGGAATTCATTCTGTCAAAAACAGTGAAAAGCTGCTTCATTTAAAATTATTTTAAGAAATAATATGTATTACATATAATTTATTATAATAAGTTATAAATACAAATGGAAAGTTATTCATTCTGGATAGTTTTGATATGTGAGTTTGCAGCCATATTCCTACCAGGAATGACAACATACTATAATGGTCCTTTCTTGGCCCAGCTAGAGGAACTGGCGTGAGGGCAGCAGGCCTTTCTTAGACCAGCAATGTCAAGATTCCTCAGGACAAAAGAGCCCATGTGGTTTGAAACCCCACCCCAATGCAGTTCTGAACTCCCTCAACTCCACCTTCATTAAAAACCTGTGGAAACAATTGCAGTGTTTAGCCTAGATTTTAAAAAATTTTTAAATATAAACAAGGTATAATTTGTGATGTTAGAGAAACATTTGATGGATGCAACTGTAATTTGAAGTTTGGCAATATAGCTCTTCCCAAATTTTTTTTACTTCTTAATTTATTGTTTAAAAGTGAACATAAATATCCATTATTATCTTCACTCATGCTTTCAGAAGAAACTAAAACAAGCAACGGAGACCTGTCCGACAGCGCTGTGTCTGCTGATCCTGTTGTGAAATGATACCGATGATATTCACTGCACATATGATGAAATCGTCAGAATTGTTAAAACAGTGGAATGGATAAACTATTGATGAATTGTTTCCTTGGTCACATCTCTGGAAAATAGATGTTACAACTCTTAAAGGCAGTGCTTTAAAGTGAAGTCCTTTCTGTTTCCAAAGGCTCTACTTTCAAAGGTTGAGAATGAGATTTTAAAATTGGATTTTTGCCTGGACTTGAGGGTAGAAGATGTTTCTATTTGATGTGAAGTTATAAAAGGGCAAATCCAGATTCATAAACTATCACCTCGGATTTCTTGTAATCTCCATGTTTGTAATTTGTATTTGCATAGATCTTTGATCTGTAGTTATTTCAAGTCATGGGAAATTCAATGCATATACTATATACAGCCAGTAAATACATGCTTAACAAAAGGAATGAGCCTGAAATTCATGAAGAATACATATCAATATTCTCATAAAAGGAATATATGAAGATGGCTTTGATACTAGAGGTGAGGCACAAGTGTTTTATGTACTCTCACTGTACAGTATAACTGATGATCATTCTTTCATTGTTAATTTCATGTGACTCACAAGAGCTGCTGATGTCTTTGATGAGACATTTTATAACTAGTTTACATTGCTTTGAGAACATTTAACCTCCAACAGCTGCTTTAAATTTAAGATTTACTTAGTACTCAGAAAATTCAGATAAAGCCATAGAGTCCTGTTTGAAGTTTCACTTCTATTTTGGTTGAAGGCATGATGTATGATGTCAGAAAAAAAATTGAATGAATTATTTCTACATCCAAACTCAGGTTTCTTCTACATTAGATTGAATTGAAATTTTGGTGATGGTTTGGGTAGACTTTTTTTTTTATATCAAGTATAATTTAAGACAACAGATTAATAATTACACTGTTCAGGCTTTTAAAAAAAATACCACTGTGAGAATAAACAGCCAGTAAGATACATCACTTACTGATTTTAAAAGTACAGAAAGATTTGAGTAAATTTCGTACCCAGCAAGTGTTAGTTTTATTTTTGTAAAGGTATGTAAGTTATTAGTTAAATGGTTAATCATGGCCTTTTAAAAATATAATAAAGTGATACCTTTACAATGAAGACAAAAATTTAAAACTTTCTAATACAAACATCATTTTGGGAAATGCTTGATTTTTTTCTATTGCATTTGTCTGCGAAACATTTCTTTGGATAAATCCTGCAAATGCTTCTAACGTTATTCTTTGATTCCAGCTTTTAGAATGGATGTACAATGCCCTGTTTGTACTTACTGGTTAGGGTCAGGGTAACTTGCCAGCCCAGGATAAATACTTTAATTGTTAAAAGTCAGAAGAGACAGAATATGTAGGAAATGTTTTTTGTTTATTATGTAAACATGGCTTACAGAATTATGAACAGTGGATAGATTAAAGGCATTTAATATTTGTAATCCATAATAACTGTAGAAATGGCCCTAAAGCATGCTGCATACTTAATAATTTATATTTTCATTATTATAAGTTTATATTAATGATCTTGCATTTGATTATATCAAATTCGTCATCATTTTATAGCAACAGTATTGTTTTCTCTGTTTTTCTTCTCTAACTTCTCTGAAATCATCTCCTATTAAGGGATAGAAATTGTTACTAGAAGAGAATCACATGTTCTCTGGTCATTATCCCTACACGTGTAAATTAATTATTTTATCAATACTAGATAGAGTTCACATGCTGACTCCCTGGATACCTACAATTAAGAAGAAAATGACAGACAACTATTTCTCCTTTAGGTTAAAATAATGTCACTGCAATCTGGATAGATTATAAGTTAACGTATTTGAAATAAGATCTTGGAAACAAGAATTTAAATGGTGTCAAACTGCAGAGCAACAGGGCTTCAGTATATTCACACCTAATACGTTCATATGTACATTTCGATGATGGTTTTTCTTGATAACATATTAACATTGATTTTATTTTTTCAGACATACTGTTAATTTAAAAATAAATGTGAGCGTTTGTTTTAAGTTCACAGAAAACTTAATGATAATTCAGATTCTCAGGAATTAAGGACTAACCATAACATTGTCAGTTCTAATTACATTTTGTAAAAGATGGCAAGTTTGTTACCTCACTTGAGTGGGGTTTCCCTCTTCCCCCAATTCTAAGAGAATATAATGTGTATACTAAAACATTAATAAACATAATTTTGAAAATTTCCTTCCCCTGGATGTTTATGTTCAAAATTGAATGTCATAAACCAGTAGTTCTTAATATTAACCTTTTTGGGGTCCCACTTAATTGAATGAAACGAAATCTATGGAATATTTTTTTAAAAAATGCATGCACATAGGTAAAAAATTTGAAGTATAAAATTGGCTTCTGTCAATGTATTCCAGGTGAAAGGTATTTTCCTTTCCTTTATACATTTTTGATCTTTCCAGAGCTTTTTCCCAATAAAAAGAACCAATATGAAGTTACTTTAAATCCTAATCCTGGAAAGGGATTATCAGTATGCAGTGTTTAATGTGAGTAATAGCTATAGTGCTATTTGCAAACCTGAGTTGAACTAAAACAACACAGTAGTCTCCCCTTACCCGTGTTTTACTTTCTAGTTTCAGTTACCTGTGGTCAGCTGTGGTCTGAAAATATTAAATGGAAAATTCCAGAAACAATAAGTTTCAACTTGTGTATTATTCTGGGTAGCATGATGAAATCTTGTGCTGTCCTACTCCATCCCGCGGGACGTAAGTCACCCCTTTGCCCAGCATCTTCATGCTGTATGTGCTACCTGCCCATGAATCACTTGGTAGCTAGGTTGTCAAATTATTAGTGTTTGTCTTCCAGTAAGCCTTATTTTACTTAATAATGGCCCCAACGTGCAAGAGTAGTGATGCTGGCAATTCAGATATGCTGTAAGAGAAGCCTGAAATTGCATACTTTAAGTGAAAACATGAAAGTTCTCGGGAAAGAAATCATATGTGGGGTGGCTAAGATCTGTGGTAAGAATGAATCTTCTATCAGTGGCATTGGTGACAGTATTTGTTACAGTTGTTCTGTTTCATCATTAGTTATTGTTACTGCGTCTCTTACTGCGCCTAACTTATAAATTAAACTTTATCATAGGTATGTGTGTATAGGAAAAAACACAGTATATATATGGTTAGATACCATCTGCAGTTTCAGGCATGCACTGGGGGTCTTGGTGTATCCCTCTCAGATAAGCAGGGACTACAGTAATAACAACAGAGCCTTCAAAATATTACACTGGAGATGAGATACAATCCTGTTAAATACTACCCTGCAGAAATCATTCTTGGTAAAGTTAAGTCTGGTTGCTGTTCCTTTTTTCATCTGAGGCAGTAAATTTGTAAGATTGTGGGAAAGATGAGAAAATATTGGATACTTCATGTTGCTCTTTTATGCTGAGTCTGCTAAATGTAAAAGGTAGACTTTAAATGATTTTAATAATTGTAACAGGGTTTTCTTTCCAGCTTCACATTGCAGACATTTCAGAAGATGACATTCCTTTTTTAAGGGAAGTTTTAATGCCACATACATATTTTTTTTAACAAAGGCTTTTAGATGTTTGGAATACTTTTAATAGGCTGTCAAAGATGTGAAGTTTAAAAAGGGAATCCAGAATAAGTGGAAATCTGTAGAGATTAAGCAAAGGCAGTGAACTCGAGATGGTGATGGCAAAGTTAAGAGTTCAGCTTATAACACAGGTCAGCATATATATATAATGTATAAGAAAAGTTGGGCAAGTAAGTATTTTCTTTTCAGTAGTTTGGCTCCTCTTTACCACTCAGTTTACCTGATACCTCCATTTCCCATTAGTGGAGATATACTCAGGAATGTAGATGAAATTTATTCAGTCGATGCAGATCTGATACCATAATTCTTGGATCATCTCTACGGACTATAAATACATTCTGTAGGTAAGAGCTACATGTAGTCAACCATTCTTTAATAATGCCCTCATTTAATGGGGGAAGGAGTTACCTTTTATACCTAGAAGCACTTGTCTTTATCAAATTAGTATTAAAGTATTTAATCTTTTCAGAATCTGTACAAAAGGTAGCAAAGTATTAAGGATATTATGCTTTAGGTTGATACTGCTACTGAATTGTCAAGAGCTTAATGTATTGAGAAATATTTGGATTGCTTTGTATCTGGTTCTCTCTTGAGGTCTTCTGTATATAGCACAGAGTGTTTAGAAGCATCGACTCTGGAGCCAGAACAATTTGAATCCTGATTTCCTGCTAATTCCTTAATATCTCTGTGCTTCATTTCCTTGTGCAAAAGATGGGATGATAATGACAGTATGTAGCTTATAGGTTGAGGATTAAATTTGCATAAAACACTTTATATATTAGGAAACAGTAAATATTAGCTACTATTTGTATATACTATAAACGTTAGCTCTTACTATATAACTTATTTGTACTCTTATAGGTAGAAATAAACTTGGCATATAAGCATTAGGTGTTACTACTATTTTAGGTGGAACGATTGAAACTAAAGTCTGTATTTGACTTTAAGTGGGTGTCTAAAGAACTATTCCTTGTTAAGTGGCTCAGGCAGATGTAGACAAGGTAAGGAAGGCCCTGTTCTTCCCTAAAGAAAGTAGTCTGATGAGTATGTGAGGCTAAATCAGCCTGGGAAGTGGGAATTGGTAAGAATAGCTGGCTTCTAAAAAGGTCCCATTTCCTCTCTTCCCGCCTTTCATTTACCATGGCACTTGTTAATCTTTCAGAGCACTTTAATGTGTATTAATACAATTTCAGTAAGTGGAGAAAAGGGGCAAATCATCCACTAGTTCTAAGTTTTAAAATTATTTAAAAATACTCAATGCATACAAGGTATATAATATGTATTATACTATTTGAAGAATGAAAATAAAGCACTTGGAAAGAAGCTACCATATCCTTTAAGAACACCTCGCTCCTGCAGTTTCTGCCCGAGGAAACCATGTGAGGGTTTGGTGTTAACCATTCTCTTGCTCTTCCCTTGTTTTACAACTGATTGTATATTCCTAACTATTGATAATATTGTTATGTTTCAGTTTTTAAACTAAATATAAATGGGATATTATATGCTTTTGTAACTTTTTCAGTATTATTTTAAAAATTCATCCACGTTGATGCATATAGCTGTAGTTGAGCATTTCATTACGTGAATACAGCTATCTTCTGTTGATGACATCTGGGTGGTTTTCACTTTTGGGATATTGTAAACAATGATGCTGTAATCATTATTGAACGTGTCCCTGGGTCCAGGTGTTTCGAGTTTCTCTGGGCTGTGTACCTCCAAGTAAAACTGCTAGGTAGTAGGGCAGGTGCCCTTTCAATGTACTGGACAGAATGCCATACTGTTGTTTCATCCCAGCAGCAGAGGAGATTCCCCTTTGCTCCATTTCTCCCAACAGCTGAATTTTTGCAGTCTGCTGAATATGAAATGTTTCTGTGGTTTTAATTTGCATTTTCCTGATTACTATAAGGAGTCTGTTTCTGTTTATGAGCACTTTGTCTTTTTTAATGTATGAAATGCCTTCGTGACTTTTTTTCAATTTATCTTTCTACCTGTAGGAGTATTTTATATATTCTGGATGCTAATTTTTTGTTGGTCTTGTGTGCTTGCTAGTAGCTTTGGTTTAGTTGTGTGTTTTCATTCTCTGTGGTGGTTTTTGATGAAGTTAGTTTTAGTGGACTGAATTTCAGTCTTTTTATTTTTTCCCTAATGATGCGCATGCTTTGTGTCTTATTTAAGCCGTGCAGTCTTTTAAAATGGTGGATTAATAAAACAACTTTTGTACTCCAAAATTAGGTTAACATCATAGGATCCATTTGAAATGTATACAGAAATGTATCGTGTTTCAGTTTTCAAACTAATAATTGTTTAGGACTTGAGTGAGATTATACCCCTCTCCCAAAAAAGTCTAAGCAAGAAAAAAAAAAAAAAAACGTTCAGGGGGCTGTGGCTCTTGCAGTCTGTCAGAGAACCAGTTGATCTAAAGCAGGTATGTCATACAAATTTGTAACGCATTAGTGAACAATGAATTAATAATTTTATGGTGCATAATTTCATACTGGCTTAGACTGACTCACTATGTCTTTTATGGTGTATACATTTCAAATGGATCCTATGATATTAACCTAATTTTGGATTACAAAAGTTATTTTATTAATCCAACATTTTAAAAGCAACACCTTTAAAAATTTTAGCAATGGGATCACATATTCTACTCATGTTGACTGGAAGTATTTTTTGATACTATATCCCCTCTGTGATTTCATTATGCCCTAGTTTTTGGGAAATTAAATGTTAAAGCTATGGAGCTGACTTTAGTTTTCTTCTAGGGATGTTCCAGAAAATAACAACAAACAAAAGAAAGAAACAGAATAATTTTTATTGCTAGGTTAATTCATTACAAAGATAATAATAGTCTGTTGAACTTAGTTACAGTTAAACACACTGTACCAATTCAAAATCATTATACTAGTTTCATAGAGAGGAGGGATGGGGGAGTGGGCTGGGGTTCCAGGAATTGGAAGTATCAGGGTGGAAATAGGAACTTTATACCAAGCCCCATGACCAGCTGTGCTTCAAGTGAGTTTTAAAATTAATTGGTCCCTTCCTTGAGGAGGGTCTGGCTCAGAAGAAACAGGAACTGGTAGAGCTGCACCCTGTCCACAGTGATCCACTACTAAAAGTACTCATACCTAGGAGGACCTTAAACTTCTGAATGCTGGTTCAGTAAGGCTCCACTGTAAAATCAAACATCTTTTGTGGTATTCATTTTTTTATTGCTTGATGTCTGGAACAGTTATTGGAACTAGACCTGCATCACGCATCTCTACTAGTGCTTGGGCCTCAAAGCAGTGCTCATCACCTAACTGCACAAAGAAATGCTATTAGGTCCAATTATGAGATAAGCTGAATTATAAATACACAATTTTCAGAACGACAGGCACTTAAAGCTCATTAAGTAAAATACAAAAATAGATTATATTAATAGGAAATATTTAGTGTTCATCAAATTGTAAATCTAGGCTTTTGCCATTTTTTAAAAAGGATACTGGCAACTGAAAAGAGATGACATTCATATGAACAGTGCATTTTTCAAACTTTTGTTCTGAGCGCTGAACAATCTTAAGAAATCTTAGCGCGATCTAAGAAAAAAGACTTACCACAAAGCACCTAAAATAACATTTGTA